ATCGACCCTCTGATCAATCAACACTTAGAAGATTTTCCAACAATTCATACAAGCATGCGATGGAGATTCGAAGATAAGGATAAGATCATCATATCATGAGTGACAGCTGGAGATGACAAGTCAATAGCTGGAATTCGAGTTTATCTTAATATTAATGTTTATCCATATGAAAGATAAACCTTATCTGTTAAATAGAAGATTTGCTAGAAAGTAGCATTAGATTATCTTCTTATTAGCCATTTAGTATAAATAGATGATCAGATCTATTGTAAAAATAAGGTTTTTACGCATTGTTTTACGTTTCTGAGTTTATAAAGTAAAACCTTTGAAGCTCAAGATTGTTCATAAATATTTTTATTTTTATTTTTGAGTCTTCATAACTTTCTTCATAAAATCACTATAATTTGGTTATTCATAACTAGATTATTAGTGTTATTGAGAGATCTGAGATCAACAAATAAGTTAGGAGCCTCTTAAGAGATAACTTCCCCATAAATACTTGTGAAAGAAATCCAACTCATTGGTCATCTTCACCACACACACCTATATAATTAGCCTCCTTTATCTAGAGTACACCATCCACAAGGTGACAAGGAGATAGATTCTTACATCTTTGCATGCAATGAACATTTCTCCATCTCAGCTATAATGATGAGGTTATAACCATTGAAATATTTACGGGTGCTCCAATAGTTCTTGTTGTAATGTCATGGAATCAATCATTAATATGGAAAGAAGTAAGTTTAAGAAGATAAATTTGGAGCTTACAACGAAAATTTATGTACTTCAGAAATCTTTGGAAAAAGAGAAGAAATGTTTTGAGGATGAAAATAAAGTTTTCATGAAAAAGGGTGCAAGTGTTTTCAAAGAGTTATCTGAAAAGAGGAAGAGCGTGGAAATAGATTTTGAAAGTGAATGAAAAGTTTTGAGGAATAAATCTTGAAACTTTCAAAGAAGTAATCTGGACTAGAAATAGATCTAGTGACTGAGAAGAATATAGGATCCGATTTTCAAAAGAAATGTCATTTCTTTACTAAAGACAGAGATCAATTTGTTAGTAAATTCAAAATCTTGAAGCTTCTTCAAAAACTATTGCTAATCAAGCTCTATTTTCAACTGAAAATAATTTTTTTTTGCAAAAGAAAATATTTGAACTTGAGTTAGAGCTTGAGCATGCAAGGTCTAAATATTTTGAAGATATCAAAGTTTTATTTGACACAGTTCAAGAACTTGAACAAACAATTTTCACGGGGGAGAGATTGCTTGTGATGAAAAAGATTTATTTTTAAGGGGAAGGAATTTGTTCTAATAGAGATATCCTTATGAGGGGGAGAAATCAAGTTTGTCCGATGATGTTTGAAAATATCTAAAGCTGATTTGTTAAAGTCTTTGATTATTCATGATGTTTAGGATTCTCCTAATCATCATGAGGGGGAGAAATAATATCAAAAACATATCAAAAACAGAAGAGAAGAGGAATACATGATGCATAGACATGAAAAGATTATTGATAACTCTAATTTTGTGAGAGTTATTTGTTGTTCTTTACCCCTATTTTGTACCCATTTTGCTCCTATCTACTATTTTTTGTCCAAAATATGTTAAGAGGTGATGAAAGGTTAAGAATTTAATTATTTTCTAAAAAACTCATTATTGTTGGTAAATTTTGCATCTAGTTGGATTTGAACAAAATTTTGATATTCATATTCTTGGATATTATTGGGAGTTAATGCTAAGTTCAAATCTAAATATTTGGTTGCATGGAAGATTGGACCTGATTATGAGATGAAAAGACTTGGAAGAGTTTCTTCTTTTACTATGATGGAATGGCTTTCCTATCATATTTAATGGTAGTACTTTTCACCTTTTGCAACCTATCAATGAGGAGGTGACTTGGTCAAGGATTGAAGTAGACTTGTGGTGATGGGTGGTCATTATCAATTAGACAAAAAGTACCCGGGTCCCACCTTTCTTCTATATATTTGAAGACTTCTCTCAAGCAAATCATCCACTTTTTCCACCAGCAACTTAGCCAAGCACCTTGGAGCATCCTCTTAAGCTTTGTAGCAGTAGAACTAGTTTAATTTCAGTTTGTAATTTAATTTTCGTAGTTCATCTTTTATTCTCGCCACTGTATTGTGTGCCCTTTGTGGGCACCAGTAAGTATTTATTTTCAGTTCAAGTATTTCCAGCATTCTTCTTCTTCTTCTTCTATTTTTGTTATGTTTTCTAATTTCATTATGAGCTAAGCACCCCTTTGGGTGTGGGTGTGAGTCTAGCTTAAGGATTTAAGGGCACACTTGGGTGTTGCCATTTTTATTGATTCTTAAGCTTGGTCATTTAAGTCGGGACGTAAATTCAACGCGGATAAGCTGATCACTTTGAAGTGTTAATATTAGATCCTTGATCCAGAGATGGGCGGATATGATATACGGCTTAGATGATGCACAAAGGTTCGAGAGAGTCTTTGATAATCACGCAGAGATGCGGGTTTTGCATGTTTTTAGCTTTTGTTCAGATACTAGTCGAGTTTATGCTACAATACGTTGTGAGTATAAATCTTCAGACTAGTGGAGCCAGATATCTTTTTATCTAGTAGCTAAATCGGCAAGTTTAAGATTGATAAATTTGGACGCTTTGTGGGCACTCTGTGGGCACAGTATATAAGAATTCACTTTCGAGAGAAAGGAGTTCTTATAGAAATCCCATGGGTTTCTGACCAAGTCGTTCCTGTAATATTCTTAAGCAAAGCTTACACCCATACCCATCTTTTAATATTAAAGGTTTATTTCATATTTTAACGCTTTACACCAATCAAAACTCAAATATTTTCTCAACCCGAAACATTGTTCAAGAAGTTCATGAAAGTCTCTGATTCTCAGTAAGTCCGGTCCCTATGGAAACGATCTTGGTACTATACCACTTTATTACTTGAAGCGATCTTAGTGTCGGCATGCACTTGCACCGCTACTTTGGGGATTTTATGCCCACTGTGTGCACACTTACGATTTTAGCACATCAATTATGCAGATTTACATGGGATAAATATTGTTCAAAGATGTATGTAACAAATGATGATGTATAAAAGTGTTGGTTTTTGTAAGAGAAGCTTGACTGGTAAACTGGCACTTTGTTAAATCAATTCATGAAAAGAGATGGTTTGAATCTAAATCTTTTGAATCTAAGGTTGAAAAGTCATAAGATTTAAGATTGTAGATGTTGATTTTTTTAGACTTATTATTGACATATTTGTTAAAGTTGTTTGAAGAAGTTTGTTCATAAAACTGGATTCTTTCATGATGAATGGGTGTTGAGCTTAGTATACATAGTATCAAAGCTTAAAACCTGAATGTCTAAAGCTTATCTGTTGTCTATAATGGATTTGTTGAAGATTGAAAATTGTTCTAAAGCGTTTGAAGATTTTGAAGATTGTTTCAAAGTGAATATTTTGATCTGAAGAATATATTTGTTAAAAATAAGAGATTGTTATTTTTCAAATTCATCTTTTAAATAGTGATAAAGTCTGATCGTCTTTATTGGGAAGATTGTTTAAATCAAAAGTCTATTGAAATGAAGACAAAGATATTTGTTTTTGAAGAATGTGATCTCGAATACAAAGGGGGAGATTGTTAGGTCAAATATTATTGTATCCAAGATCACCGAACTTAATAATTGAAGAGGTTAAAACTCAAATTCAAGAAAAATCAACATTGTGCTCAATTGTAGTTTGACTTGTATGATTAGTCGATCATATAAATAGTTCTTGTTAGTTTAGTTGTTAGTAAGAACTCATATGTAATATTCTAGAGAGAAGTTAGAGAGAGAAACATGTTCTAGAGAGAGAAACAATCAATGACATGATGATTTGATCTTTACTTGTTGTTCTTATTGTTTAATTCATTGTTATCTGATTGAAACCGTGTCTGACAACAATATTGTCATTTTACCATTAAATATGACATAACAATAATGTAGATTATAAATATTTTCTTAATTATTAGTTTTATCACCACACACCATTATCTACCACCAAAAGTAGAACTGCCATCCACCACAAGAAACAGCAAAAAGCAAAGCGAACACAACCAAATCATTGCTCACTTCCCAATAATTCAAAACACAATAGCAATTAGCAAATATCAAACTCCTCATAACTGTTGTATAACCACCGTGAATTCCTCTCTTCATCAGGGTGCTAAGAAGGTGGCCGACAAAGAAAGGGGCTTTTGAGTCGCCGAAGTTGGAGCTGGGCTTGGTTCATGTGGTTGATGTCATATATACATACCTTATTCATTGCAATAAAAATGGAGAAAAATAAAATGGAGAAATGCCTTTCACTTAACGGTTTTTTAACAGTACTAGAGGAACGGATTTTCGTCGAGCAAAATTTCAAACCACAACTACAAAACTGAAACAAAGAAAATGGAGAAACCACAAATATAAAAAAATGAAATAAGAACACAATTTTTTTGATAAAAATAAAAGTAGAAGGGTGTTTTGGGTATTTTTTGAAAAGTTGCTTCTCTTTCTTATATTAAGCTGTTTTGGGTCGGAACTCGGAAGTAAAAAAAGAAAGAAACAACAAAAAGATCCTGCAAATCGTCGTCTAACGTTCTCCCCCATTCTCGTCGCCGTCAATCCTCTCCCATTTTTGCATAATTACAACTCGCGACACGAAACTGGAAATCAAAATCCAGATGAAGAACAGCAAGATGAAATGGAAAGCTGGAATTCTGAGATTGTAGGTATGTAAGCTACCACCCTTTAATTTCCCGATTCGGAACAGATGGAGCATATCGCAAGGTAACTGGAAACAGCACAATCTTGTGATTTTTCTCTGCTATGGCCAATTTTGAGGATGTATATTTCATCGTGATCGAGTATGGTGCTATTTTCTATCAATGCCTTTCTATTTTGTACCTATATGCTATGCATTTGATTCATCCACCATTTCTTGATATGAACGTTTATTTCCCTATTCAAATTGAAGGCCTGTTTAGTGATCAGTGGTTTTGGGGCTGATAATCTCCATACGCGTATAACTCCCTAACCCTTCACACCGGTAATTTGTGGGTTTATGCCTCTGCTGACAAGTGATATATTGACGAGTTGTTTGGTGCTATCGTGGACTTCCATTAGTTTTCAAGCAAAAGCAATTTGAATAATTATTATTTGTATGTTTTGCATCTATTTATTGTTTTGAAGTTGAATGACTTCATTTCTATAGCCTTTCCAAGAAAGTACTATATGTTCATGCTCACTTTAATTATGAGTTTGTTGAGATACTTGATATTTATCTTTTATGGTACTGCCTTTTTAGTCAATCTACATTTCAACTGTAATCTTACAGTGAAGTTTCTATGGATTTTTAAACTGTAACAGTCAATCAAGGGTTGGATCAGATGTTATGATGAAGTTTGATGCAGCCATGATGCATCTGTTAAGAATTTCCCTTTAGAGGCACTGCTTTATGTTTTAATTAGGAGTATTGAGGACTGTCAACAGTATATTTCATTCTTTTTCTGATATGGAGAAGAGAGAGGGGAATGGTTCATTCTTTTGGATGGAGGAGCCTAACGAGCAGACAACGGTTCCCGTGAAGCTTAAGAGAAAAGCAAAGGCAAAGATGGAGTTTGTTGGGTGGGGTTCTAGACCTTTAATTGAGTTTCTTGAGTCCATTGGCAAGGACACCGGTAAACAGCTCTCTCAGTATGACGTGACTGCAATTATCAATGAATATGTGCATAATTTTAATCTTTTTCACCCATTGAAGAAGAAAAAGGTCATGTGTGATGAGAGGCTTCGTTCTCTTTTCGGAAAGAAATCAGTGCCTCGAATTAAAATATATGACCTGCTGGAATCGCACTTTGCTGAGAACCATGATTCATCTGAGGATGATGATTTGTACAATTCAGAAGAATACGAGAATGTCAATATAACATGCAAGAAGCAGAAGGTCGCTAGTTCAGAGAAAAAAGCTCCCCATCAAAAGAAAAAAGTACCAGAGACTCCATTAAGTTGCTTTGCAGCTATCATCCCTGAAAACATAAAGCTTTTATATTTGAAGAGGAGTTTAGTTCAGGAGCTTCTTAAGCACCCTGAGAGCTTTGAAGGCAAACTTTTAGGTAGTTACATCAGGATAAAATCTGATCCAAATGATTACTCTCAGAAGAACTTCCATCAACTTCTTCCAGTTACAGGTGTATTGAAGTTTCCATATTTACCGGCTCATTTTCTTTAATGAATCTCTCTTACATGCAAAGCAACAAATATCCAATCTGTTTCTGTGAAGTTATTAGACTTACACATCTAAGTGCCATTATGTTCATATCATTACGAAGCATCCATTGGATGTGTTGGGAAATTGTATTCCACCAACTTTAATTTGAGAAATGAAATGCTCCTTTTGAAGTATATAAAATCTATATACTGAAATACTCACACATTCCTCACATTTGGTGAGGCTTGAACCTTGACCTCCCGGGAGGCTGGGCTCTACGGGTAAAACCCAGGCACCGTTGGACCAATGATCCTTTGGTTAGAAATAAAATTGTTGAAGGGACAGGGCTTATCCTTGTTTTTATGATGTGATCAACATCAATTAAATATCGGTTTCAATTGTATCGCTGTCTAGGTAATTAACTAGTAGTAAACCTTCTCACAATATCCATGAACCATACCTAAAGTTAAGATTTTGGGCACATTTTCTGTCTCAGGTCCCTACATAGCTTTAAGTTATATTTCTGTAGAAGTGGGTGAAGCTTAATTATAATCGAAAGATATTGGCGTCAGTTATATTTTCTCATAATATGCAAGAAAACATCTGTGAAGCCTTGCCCTAGGTTGTCATAGTATTTGATTTTGAGCATCGGTTTGTTTTGGTAATCTATGCACTAAATAGAACATTCTAAAGAAATTATTATAATTGTGCATTCATTAAGTTCTAGATGGGCATCTTAAACATGAAACATCGAGTCTTGAGGTATCTGCCTCTTTGGAGAGTTCAAACTTTTTTTTAATAAGGTTGATTTTGTCATTGGTTATGCCATTCATATAGGTAGTTTTTGTGATTCTTTTATCAGACTTTACTTGGTTGACATGGGTGTTATCTCTTCTTGCGCCATTCTAACTTTAACTATTAACAAGAAAAAAAACATGGCTATGGGTTTTCCTAATGTGGCGATATAGCAAGGCTTTGTTATTTGCTATCACGGAGTTGGTTCATCATTACGCTATCTGTAAGCCCTCCATTTCATCTGTTGGATCCTTATTCTTTTCGTGGCTTTTTGTTATTATGCAGGGGTAAAAAATGTACCTGGAAGTGGTGACGTATGTGAAGATGTTCTTCTTCAAGTTCCAAACGTGATAAAAGACATACCTATATGCAAGTTGTCGGATGATGACTTCTCCAAGGTAAATTATCACTTAGAACATGGTTCAATTGCGCTTTCACACTATTTCGAACTATATGCTGCTTCTAAAATTATCTTTAAGCTTAATTTGGTTCAATTTTAGGTATATGATATTGATAGGTAAGTGGAATTGATTTCTAATCTAATGGGATGGGCAGTAATTACATCCTTGTATAGGAAACTCAATGATTTACTTCTAAGAGATTATTCAGTTTCTTATGATGCCTGTAGAACAGTTGCAACACCATGATTAATAGCAAATCAGAAAATTGGGCATATGATAAATTAGGCGGTTTTAGACAGAGGAATTTGATTCAAGCTGGATTTAAAAGTTTAAAGCTGCCTATATGATCAATGTTTTAAAATACACTAGGTGGTCAACCAAACACCTAGTGTTTAGTTAGTTTAGCAGGGATTAAGTGAGTTTTCAAGTGGGCGCTGGAAGTGGTTAGGTTACAATTTTATCGCATATAGCTCTCATAAATTAGCTTTATAATGCAAGCGTTATTTACTTTTTCATTGCTATCATTATAATAATCTATAACTAATTAAACAGAGATAGTCTTGATCCTTAAAGTTTTTTCTTATTTTTTTTATGTTAAAAGGATATTGTAAACATTCTACAAACATTGACATCGACTTCTGAAGTTGAGGGTTCTATTCTAAAATGCCTATGTTAGGAACACTTGTTCCTTATGCTTTTTGTATAGATTTTTTAAGAATCCTAGTAGATGAGAAAGAATGAAAATTTCAAAATCAGACATCAAACAGAAACAGTGGTTCGGATATAGGAGTAAGAGATCTGAGTATAGAACATAAAGATACTTACCATTTTATATACAAGTTATGATGAAACGAGTTATAGAGCATAGCTCAGCCTTTTCTAGTAATAGCAACAGGCTGACCACATGTTGCTCATGTGCATGCATCTTCATGTTTTAACAACCAACAAGGTAACTTTTGAAGATAGGCAATTGACTAACTATGGGAGACACTAATGATTAGACTAAATCCTAAGAGACCTACTTTAAACAAACAATTCAAATAATGTTTTAACGACCAACAGCTATGGATAACGACCAACAGCTATGGATAACGACCAACGAATGAACTAACTACACTAGATAACTATGGTTATGGTTTATCATAACAGTGGCCAAGTAGCTTTAGCAACAATCTGATCTTTGAGTAATTGTCAAATGGCCAAATGGCTAGATGTATATATTTATATCATTCTCCCATTTTTTTGGAATAAAGAATAACTTTTAATGCTTGGAGATCTCAACTCTTGAACAGATGCTTGCCATCTTCTAAGTTTTGTTAAAGCCGAAGGTGGTGTAGTTACCAAAAAATGAAATTTCTTTGCTTTGGTTATGTCAATTCTCTTGCAGGAAGAATGTGAGGATTTGTGTCAAAGAATTAAGGATGGTTTGCTTAAGAGGCCTCTTGTTGTAAGTTTTCCTGTCTAATGACTTAGTCAATCTATCACCTACTTTCTCCGATTTGTATTGTTTTGTGAGATCTAATTTCATTATCATTCTATTACAGTGTTTTGACTCTTGACTTTCAAATCTGAACAGTCTTAAAGTTGCAAACTGAGTCCTTTGATTTTGACAAGTTGAAATGTATCTCCATTGTTGGAACAGAGAGAATTCAATATGAAAACGAGAAATCTTAGAGATACACATGTCTGTTGTTACAAACAAAATCTCTCTATTCGGCCTTCTTTTTGAACTGGTCTATTTTCTAGGATAAGCTACCAAGACTTGACTATTTATTAATATCAGTAAATGTAATATTACTCTAGAAAATCATGCTACCTTTCTAAATAAAAAAAGTAAAAAAACAACAAGTTAACAAAAATATGATATTCCAATGAAGTATAACAGTAAATTGATTTCAAGTGTACCGCAGTCAACAGCTGTATGGCTGTATGAATGCCAGCTTGGTAGTAGTGCCCTACGAGCATACATCAGCTTTCAAGTTCCGATAACTGACAAAGGAAGTTATGAGTAAATAATTTCAAATGAAACAAGGAAAAAATAACAGTCAAACTACAAATGTTATGGAGTTATGCAACATCCAACTTATGAACACAAGAAAATGAAAATAAGTGTATCACATGACAGAAAACGCTGACAGTTTCTTCTTACAGTTGATACAAGTTGTTTGGAGGTAGAGTTCCACTTCTTTACTTAAGTTGGGGCTTCAATTTTTTTATATAAAAGTGACAATCTTCTCTATAATGAACACCCTTAAGGCGAGGGGTTGCCGTGCCATATGGCTATAGCCGGATGCCAAGGCGATGCCCTAACAACCATGGACCACTTCCTCTGGCAGTATCTTATGGTAGATTGTTCCAAGATATTGGAGATAGAAACAATATGTTCTTTGATAAATTCAATTGAATTTTAGGTTAGAGATCAATGCAGTAGAATATTTGGATGTATATAACTTCATTAAAGCATAAGGATAGAGACTCATTCTTAACCTTTAATTGTTGGGTTGATTAGGGAAGTCATTGGTGATAATATATTAACATGAAGCACTATTTAGCCACCACTTTCTTGTATGAAGCAGAACCGAATATTTTCTTGAACTTTGGTTCTGGTTTTTATAAACAAGATGTATAAAATGTTTACTTCATAGTCGAGTGGGTTTTGAAACATAATCTATATGTAGTCCTCATTGTTTTTATTTTGTATGAATGTTGGAGATAAATGTAATCAGTCTTGCAGCTCTTGGCATTAAAAAGCAGTTCTTTTGATGGGTGCGAGAAACCTCATATTAGTGAAAAAGTTCCATCTGGTTAATTGGATTTTCCTGTATGGTATTTGGCATATTTTTCTTGTATAGGTAACTACTTTGGAATTGGTTTTGAAATCTCATTGATTGTTGGCTTACTGAAGGATGGTGTTGTTTCGTTCTCCGCTTTATGCTTTCTGACTTGTTAGGCTCCTTGTCTTTTGTTTGTTACTGTGTTTTTTTAAAAACTTTGTAGTCTGAGTGTATTGGCTTCCTTGGTAGGTGGAGGCTGAGCAGAAGGCCCGACTGTTGCATGAGGATATAACAAAACATGTAAGTTATGTTTGTTAGACGGACCACAACTTTATACGGCTTACATCGTCTTTGTGTTCATCCAAAAAACCATTTGATCAGTTTAAAGTACCAAGTTACCATCAATGTCTAATAGATGGACAAGACTTTTGAGTCCTTAACATTGTGGACATTTATGAAAACGTGGTTTATTATCTTCATATGTGATCTCAATAGTAATGCTTGAAGACCTTGTTATTTACAACAAGTCATTTCTCAATCTTTAAAACATTAGTTACATATTTTAATATATTTTGAGACTTTATTAGTATCATTCCGGTTTTAAATATTATTACTAGACATGTCTTACATATAGACATCAGAAAAAAGGGAATCGACAAGCTTGATGTATAATTGAGAATAAGATAGACATATAGGGTGTGTTTGGTACGTGGAACAGGGTGGTACAGGACAGAACAGAACACAATTGTTCTATGTTTGGTATGGCTTTATGTGGGACTAACTAGAACTAACTAGAACAAAGGTGGGACACGGGAGTCCACCCTTTACCCCTGGAACTAACTAGAACAAGGAATTTTTTACCACTTTACCCTCAATCCCTTCCACCATCTCCTTCATCCCCTCCTCACTCATCGTGCGTCCTTCCCTATCGCTCCTCCATGCTCAGACTGCCTCCATCGCACACCCTCAATCGGCGACGACACCCTCCATTGCACCCTCCATCGCCATCTCGACGGCGACGGGAGTTCTAGTCCATACACACAGTCCGCCTCCATCGCATTACCTTCTCCTTCATCAGGTACATGATTGCCCTAACCTTCTCCTTCTCCATCGCTATGTTTGAATCGATTTAGGGTTTGCTAGGTTTGAATCGATTTAGATGCAAAAGCTCGTTAATTAGGGTTTATGCTAAGAGGATTACAACAACTACATTTTTACCAGCTTGTTTGATGGTGGTTTCGTACTCAATTTCGCCAACAACTTGATTAATCGAAGTACTTATTAGGGATTGATTATTTCTGAGAGTTTACATTGATTATGATTGCTGAATGTTGTTGTTGAAGAATTGGTTTACATTGATTATGATTGCTGAATTGATTATGAGAGTTTACTTGATTTCGTAGTGAAAAAACACTAAACAGCTCACGGGGGTAAATTGGTCATTTTAACCAGTTCTGTCATGTCCTGTCCTGTCTTACCAAACGCTGAACAGCCGTCCTGTTCCGTCCTGTCCCGCCCTGTCCAGTCCTGTCTGCGCACCAAACGCACCCATAGGGTACACATATTGGCCTGTGGACAATGACAAATGTTGCTATTATTATTATCATTATTATTATTATTAATTGCTCAAGTCTTTAACATTTTTTATCGTATTCCAATTATTTTTTCACTTATTTGGGTTTGTTGTGTTAAGAGAAGCTTACGGTTTTTTTTACAGTGGCTTCCTAGAGAACTTGCATATCTACAAAACCTCATTGATCGAGCCAATGAGAAGGGATGGCGCAGAGAATATCCTTTTATGATGTATATATAATATACACCATTTTGCATGATTGAACTTCTGTTTGAACTTTTGTCTGCAATGATTTGATGCGCTTTGGAAACTACTTTTTTGCATTAACATTTGATGCAGGTAGCAGCGCTCTATTTCTCCATAACTTCTAGGGTTAATTTTTCTGTAGTAAACTGTAAATTATAAGCTTGATAAAATAATACTCAATTAATTAATAACCTTGATTAAATTGTACTTTTTTCCAGTCCCAACGTAGTAAATTAGTAACTCGCTAGCTTTATAAGATGATAATTTTTCAGGAAAAGCACACAGGCTCACTATTTATGAAAATAATAAATTACATGACTTGATTAGCAGCCCTTTGCTAAATATGATTCTGAGGATTATTTAGATACTTTGGAAACCTTAACTTGCTCCAGCCCATACGCTATTTGAGTATCTAGAAAGAAGGAAGCTGCTCCAAACACCATCTGAGCTAACAAGGTTGTTAGCCGAGGTTCCAAAGGTGACTGCAGATATATTAGAGCCAGAAGCTACCCCAGAGGAACATGTAGAAGATATAGAACAGTTGAATAGCTCACCAATCACAACTCGTGCAGATGTTTCACATCTCTCTTTTGATTCAGCAAAAGATCAGGCATTGCCATCCAATGGTTCAGGTGCTACAGGTGAGTACTTTATTTAATAAGCCATTGAACCTTTCCCATTGATACACGGGAGATGACAAAAATAAAAACTTGTCTTATGCTTGGCGCGACAATTAAACTAGGACAGGATAAAACTGAGTGGGACACAAATGCAGTTTTTGTTGTCCCACCAAAATAGGTGGAACAAAAATCTGGGAGATGTCCTAGTAGTTGAGGTAAGATCTGCCTACATCTTACCACTCCTAGACCCTACTTCTAAGTGGTGCATACTTGGTTCGTTTGGTTTTGGTTTAAAAAAAGTTTAGGGGGATGGAACAAGATAGGTAGATTACAAAACTATCATGTTAAGAGTAACACCCTCAAATCTGAAAGAATGACTAATTTTAAATTTTTTGATAAAACATCAATTGAAGGATAAATTCTTTTCTATAAATCAATACTGGATTACCTCAATTAACACTTCTAGATTTAATATCAACAAAGTGGCAAACCAAACCTTACATAAAGTCTAGGCCAAGTTTGGGTGCTACTAAAAACCCAAATACAATCGTTATTCCAAAATAGGAAAGACGTCCCTGAATAGCTAAATCCTTTGCGTGCATCTAACTAGTACTCAACTCTTCATGGTGTCGCTAGTACCATTCTCCAACGAGGACCTGATGCACATGCCGACAAATAAAAGGCTTCGGCTTAACGCCTAGTGAGTTCAAGTAGTTTTCATTATTAATATAAAAGAGTAAAACTAAAAAGATGTTATTTAAATCACAATTTCCAAAATGAAGTATATTAAATATGAAAGTACATCTTTATCAAAACCCACCATTTTCGTAATGAAAACTCATAAAACAGAACACCCATTTAACATGAAACCAAAACCCAATACAGATACAAAATGCGATTAAAGCTTAATATTCAAATACCGAAACACAAATAAAACTCTATTATCCCAACCACAAGAAACATGGGTAAGTTCCATTGTACCAAAACCATAAATTTGGATACTCTCCAAACCCAAAACAACACTGAAAACATGGATAATACATTATCCAAAAATAACACCTTTCGGTGACGGGTGAGACTCGTTTCCATTGAATGTTGCAGAACACAAAAGTAGGCCACGTATCAATGTTATCTAACTACACCTCAGATTGATTGACCTTAGTGCATACTATAACAAGTGTTACCCCAAGCCCTCAAATATCTTTAGTGTCTACTCCATCGAGTTTACCTCAAGGCCACCACACCTTTAGTGCACGCTTATTCGAGTGTCACCTCAAGAATACCGAATCTTAGTGCCCATTCGTTCTCTAGTTGAGTTCCAACCTCAAGGTTCCCATTCGACATTTAGTGTCTACTCGCTAGCATTCAAGATAGGAACCTCAAACTTCCTACTTGGATACACGACCCATTTAACCCTCATTCATAAGGGTTAAAGCATCTAAACCTCAAATACTCACGGCCCCGGAGTTCATCTCATACGAATTCACCTCCGCAATACCGAGACCACCATAATATCTACTTGGCTACTTGAGCATTGGTCACAAAGTGAGGACATCAAGACTCCTCACTTATCAAACATGACTGACTCATATGCTTATGGATCCAATGCATTTCGGTCTAAATTACATGATTCCAAATGAATGACCAACACATTAAAAACATGTAATTCTCAAATAAAAATGCAATAAACGCATATCATGTCTCAAGCCTAACGTAGAGCAAATAACACTGGACAAATGTCCCCAGAACTCGTCCGAATCATAACTGAGCCAATAACTCAACACCTCAATTGATTATTCAATAAAAGTTGATATAAACCAATAAAATACGATTACCAAAGTTTATACAACTTATGCCCAAAGTGTGTGAATATCTTTATTATCGATACAAAGGTTGGGCAAAATTCCCATTATACACTATAACTTCAAGGAAACATTTGCAAATAAGCAATGACACTCAAAATGTGCCCAACAACTCAACCATATGTATTTTTCTCGAACGATTTATAAAATCAAAATACTGAAAATGTATTAACATCAAATAATCCCATATGAGAAAGAAATCATCAAAAGAAGACACTCTTATAATTTATTCATCAAAATACCCGAATATCCCAAATATATGCATTTTTCAAGATTTACCAAATATGCAAACTTCATCAAATAGTCAACACATTTGATAAATATCAAGGAGAACACTTTAAGACTCAAAAATATACATTTTTGACTTGTACAAAGTTTGCACAAAGCAACTTGAACTCATCTTGCTAGGTTATGTTAAACTGAGTTTTCATTCAACTTGCTTAATCTGCTTGCTACCTAGATAAATTACTTGTAATCACCAAATCATTGAAAGAACTCTAAACAAAATATTTAGACAAAACTTTGACCTTTCCAACTCATCAAGAATCATCCCCAACGAATTTAAAATCAAGTTTATACGAATATTTGAAGACTGTTTACTCAATCCCGTCATAAAACAGAGTTGTGCTATTAAACTCGATTTTTGACCTGCATATTGTCCGAATCAGCTCTTTCTCAAAACATACAGTTTGTAGAGGACATCTCAGCGGTTCCAGTGACATATTACACGCCTCAAACCGCGATTATTTACGATTTTTTACAAGATCTGGACATCAACCAAAAAGAACACTGCAACCCCAAAAAAAGGTGGCTAAACCTTTTTAAGGAAGAAAACGTGTTCTATAAACGTATATCTACTCAAATAGATACAATACAACCTATGTAGCTCCAACATTGCGCTCCTAACACTATGAATGAAAGATTTTGACCAAGAAGAAGAAAACCTAAGTTTTAGAGTTTTACCTTGTTTGAGCTCAAATGGAAGCTTCAAATTCAATGGTGACTTGAGTTCCAATCTTCAAGGTAGTATTTCATCTATCAACACCAACACAACATTTCTCTCTTGAATCACAAGTATCTTCTTCACTTGCAAGGAGATGGATTTTTCTCTCATTTGGAACTCCAGAACCACCAACAATGAAAGAGTGTTGGAATTTGTGGGTTTTTATACCCAAAATATCATAACATCTTTTATTTTTCTCGAAAACACGGGTGCTACATTAAATTAAAATCTTAAGCCTTCCACAATTATATCACCTGCCTACCTCACTCTTGCTTGTTCTGTCCAGTCTGGTGCACGTAAACATATCCGAAGTATGGATTGTGTTGCAAGATGTTAATGCTTTCACAATGATATTTTTTCTTGATTCACATGTGAAGTTGTGTGTATGCAGTAAATGGACCGGTGGATCTTGTTGGAATTAGTGAAGGTAATAGAGAGCCAATGGCGAACGAGGGTATAGGAGGAATTTCCTTTGTAAATTCGGGACAAAACTTAACAAGCGTCCGGTGGGTTGAAGCCGAGCAGATTCCGAAGATCAGAAGTCCGGATCAGGCATTGGACTTAAACAGTGCTTCAGAGGTGATTGAGCTAAGCGATGATGAAGAAAAGCCACAGGAGCAAGATGAGGAGTATGAATTATCGCGTCAAAAATGGTTCTACTGGGATCCCCAAGGAAGAAGACAAGGACCCGTTTCAAGATACGAGTTGAAACGGTGGAGCGATGCAGGCTACTTCTCGCCGGACTTTAAGATATGGGAAGATGGTGAGGCTCCTAGCAGTGCCATCTTATTGACAGATTTGCTTTCAGGCAATTGTAGCAAATGATAGGAATTGTTGGTTTCATTTATAGATTATGTCTAACATTTGTTTCTAATAGTATTTAGTTATTTATGGCCCAGGGAACTTGTCATTTTGCATGGTTGCTGAGATTATCTTACCCGAATCATTATAATGTACCCCTTCAATCATACTTTGCCTTTTGATATACTTCATGACAAATAGTCTTTATCATTATAACCTTTGTCCTACCTTTTTTTAGGGTAAAAGTCTTCGGTCCCAAATTCTAACCTCTTTTTCATGTCCACCAATCACATGAATACGTATAATTAAAAAATAGAATTCTTGATTTCATTGGTGGGACAGGGAATCGGATGTGGGATTTTATTTTATAGTCATTTCTAGTTCTTGCTCCTCTCATAGGCATAGCCGGTCTCACGAACATATGTGGGATGTCACACTAACGTTTGGTAGACTTGCAACAATAATACAATGGTTAACATAAAAACCGTGAGCATTGTTGAACAAACTTTGTATGCATAAAACCTGAGCATCGGTGAACAAACTTTGCATTAGTCACCTTAACATGACAAGTCTATTGGGTATTTTCACAAAATGTTATTTGACTCATGGTTTTTACATTCCATTTAACAACTGTTAATTAACAAATTACATTTCATCTTTAACTTGTTTACATATTTCCACAAAAAACAAACAATTTTGCATGGTGCTGCACAGTGGCGGAGCCAAGATTTTTGTTCAGTGGGGTCACCTTTAAGGTAGACTAAAGACTCGCAAAATCGTCCGATGTGTTTTTAACCTAATTACGACGTTTTCGAGGGAATTTTAAGTTTTTTGGTTGATTTCGAGGGATTTTTTTTAGTGTTTTTGTCGATTTCGAATAACTTTTTTTTTGGTTTTTTTGATTGATTTCAACAGTTTTTTTAGAGTAACGGTTTCGATTGGAGTTGGGGGATCATGGAAAAATGTAATGGGGGGAAGTGAAAGGTAAATCATGTAAAACCTAAATTTTAACCTACAATTTTTTTTTTTGTTGAGTTTTTGACTGGGTTCCCTTCCCCCTCCTTTTTACCATTGCGTCTGCACCTGGTGCTACACACTACTTATTTTAGATTTGATATAATTAACACTCTCCTCCTTAAAGATCAAAACCATTTAAGCTAAAATAAATACACAAGCGACCTTCATTAACATCGAATGGAAGCCTACTTATATGCCAACATTCTAGGGGTGTGTTGGGTATTGTGGAAGATTTTAAAGTTTTTAGTTTGATATAAGGAGTTTAGTAATTTACCAATCTTACCTGATTTTTTTCTTATTTTTGTTCTACCTATTTTAATAAAAGAATATATATATATATATATATATATATATAAAATTCAGTAATATCATATGATTTATTCCAATGTTAAATCAAACATGAGATGTTACATACTAAACACACTTCCAAGATTGATCTCCAAATTTGATATGATAATGATAAAAGGCCATTCATTAGATTTGATGGAAAAAAGCAAAATGACAAACATAGATTAACCCCCAACTTTAATAAAATAAAATGTACTTGAAATGTGTTTCTTTTTAGTTTTTTTTGTCCATCTCTTTCTTGATCTTCAATTCTATTTGGTTTTCGAATGGAATGGTTATGGAGTCAAATGTACAAAAGTACAAACTTTGAAGACGGTAAAATGTAAAAAGGCATGGAGAATAAAGAACTGGAAACAAATCTAGCAAAAATATTGTGAGCCCCAATTCCCAAAAAGCTTCTGTTTTTAAGTCGTTGGCAGCCACTTTGTGTTCAGATATTGGAATTGTGGTGGAACAGAAGATGATGGCAAGATGCTCAAGCTCAATGGCTTCTGTACCCAATTCCAATGACGCCAAGGTTTTGCAGAGCTTCACAGGTCTCCGGCAAATCGCTGAAACTCGTCATTACAAGGTACGGTTTCAACTTCTGTTTTCACTTTTTCAATTTGATTCATGTATTCACCTATTCAAGGACATTTGAGGGACCTTCCGATTTTCCTCCTCCATCAGCCGCCGTCCATGGACTCTCTGGCTGTCTCCTACTGCCTCATTGCCCCTTCCTTGTCTCCTTGATCTCGGACAAAAAGTTTCCAACCGCGAGTGGTCTTCATAATCCAAGAATGTTTCTTCTGGTGCCAATAATCTTAGCAATTATAATCCCCCTTGACCCTCTATTTGTTTCCACTACAAGCTTTTTCGATCTGGATACATTCTTTTCCACCATGTACATAGTCTTGAATCTTGATTTGTTGATTAAATTCCCAGGATGTTACCTGCAATCTTATCCTCAAATCATGGCTTCCCACCTCCCTATTTGTTTATTGTGTCAATCTCCCAAATGCTCTTCTTCTTGAATAACATAGACCAGGTTCAGTGATTCAATCCCCCAATAGCCGGTCCTCCAACCTGGATTCTTATTTTTTAGCTATGAAATCTTTTGCTCTGAGTTTATCCTTCAAGTCATTTGGATGAGATGATAGAAGATTCAGAAAGGTGGGTTGAAGACAACTTGACTGAGTGGCTCAGAATTTTGGCCTTACTGACAATATAGAAGACATTTAAATCCCATTTCGGGATCATCATTGGTGGAAAAGAAGAAAAGAAATTTAGATAGCCTAGTGAGGGAATTGAAAGCCTTGGGAAATATGATGAATTCTGGAAGGCTATGGAAGTATGGCTCTGTGAAGCACATCGTTGGGTATTGTATCCCTATTGAGGTGGTGTTGCCTGTGTTAGATTTGTGGCTTTGCTCCTTGTTGGGCTATGTTTGGCAAACTAGTTGATAAGCTAGTTGTTGGCTAATAAGCTAATTGTCATCTAATAAGCTAATCACTTTTGGTAAAAAGTTGATAAAATGGATGACAATGTGAAATTATCTAAAAATATAGTGTTTTTGGTCATTTATGTAAAATATAAGGGACATGATTGGAAAAAAAATCTCTTGGAGCTTATTGAAACGCTACTTGAAGTAGCTTTAAGAATAGCTAGGTTATAAGCTAGTCTATGGCTTACCCAACCGGGATTGTTTAGTATGCTCAAAAAATAAGCTAACTTATGGTTGCCAAACATGGCCTTAGTCCTTCTGGGTTTAGAAATATCATACGTTCTACGCTGTTTCAGATGTGTTTCCTATGTTATTTGTACTTTAGGCATTGTTTCTCCTTTAGTATGCTACTTTTGTGGGCCATATCTTCTTCGTTTTCTTTAATATTTGGAAGCTTTGGTGTACCTTTCTCTATTTATAGTCTTTTTATCTAACAGCTTTCTCGACCGGAAAAGCAGCTCCTAATTCCTATCCGGTAGATTCAAAGTTCTTAGATTCAATCATGGAAATCCAGTCTGCAAAAATTTCACAACTTATTAGGTTGGTTTTTTACTTCTGTTTGGTGCAGGCATGGTTTTTAGATCAGTTTGGGGTTCTTCATGATGGGAAACAACCTTATCCTGGCGCAATATCTACATGTATGTTATTAGCTTTGACATTTTGGTAAGGGATGTCACTTGGAGATCCATCTGTTTTTTCTCTCTCTCCAAAATGTCGGTTGTTCTATTATGATGATACTGCTAAATTTCCTGCCTTTTTAACAGTGGAAAATTTGGCTGCTCATGGTGCCAAGATGATCATTATCAGTAATTCATCAAGACGTGCATCAACAACCTTGGATAAATTAAAGAGCCTTGGGTTCGATCCTTCTCTTTTTGTAGGAGCCATCACCAGTGGAGAATTGACATATCAGCATCTTCAAAGGTAGTGGGACTCAAATTCAATATGTCAATACAAGCACGATTGTGTCATGACAAACTTTAGTTACAATATTTGCTAGGTTACAATTTACATCATAGTGTATTGAAATGCTTATACCCCTTTTTGCCATGTCTTATTTTTGTACGTATGTGCCATTTAGGTAGCATATTGTAATTCATCCTTCCCAATTTTCGCTAGCATACTGTTCTGGATCTTTTTGAAATTTCTTTCACCCACATCACTTCAAATGGATGAGATTATACCAATCTTGGTGTTTGCGGCAAAAGCTCCGTTATCCTGGATATTAGAGGCACTACCAATTTTTTTTCTTTATATCAATTTCATTCTTTATGCAATTCAAGATTCCTTTGTCACCTTGGAGGTAAGCTTAACGTACTCTTCGGAGGTGCATGGAAATTTAATTTACATGCTTAAATTGATATGTATGTATATATATAATATATATATGTGTGTGTGTGTGCGCGCGCGCTTAATGTTTTACTAGCGGCTTTTTATCTCTGAAATTTTATCGACTTGGGTTTGACATATGGCAGATACTCTTTTTCTCACAGGGTATGCTAATATCTTCTATATATGATCTATCATGAACAGGAGAGATGATCCTTGGTTTTGGGCACTAGGAAAGACCTGCATTCACATGACATGGAGTGACCGAGGCGCTATATCACTTGAGGTAAGCTTTCGTTACCGTATTTTTCTGGTTTTTTCATGAAATACCTCTCCTTCCGTTTCAAAATTTTCTTGCTTCTCTATGTTGTGATATACTGTGCAATCCATGCCCTATTTCTTTATAATTTGTTAACATATCTAGGACTTCTTGTAAGGAAAAGTTTAATCTGTGCTTAACCCTAAGGGCTTTCATTTATTAATCTTCATGTTCAACTCCATAGTTTTTCATTACTTCCTTGACATTAATATGACTATTTGCCCTCGGGCGTGTAGCTTAGTTGGCAAAGGGGGGGAGCGACTTTGCTCAAATACACAACAGGTTCAAGTTCGAATCTTGTGGGAGACGGGCTTGAACCCCTCCGCTAGCCTTAGCCGCTTAGTCAGCTTTGAAATGCTTCCTCAAATGTGGTTCCCAGGGGGCGGATTCCGTGTTTTGCTGGTCGTGGTTGCTGATAATCAACCTTTTGCTCAAATATGACTATTAGATAAAAATATGAAGTCTAAAATCTTATGGGGTTGTGCTTTTATATGTTTCCAACAGTCAAGTATACATCGGTGTTTAGTTATCAAACCTCTTCCTCAGGAAGTTCTTTTTTTAATGATGAGAAACAATTTGAAAGAACCAAATCAACCACTAGAATTTCTTATCTCAAAGCCAGAAAAGGATACGTTTACTCCTTAAGTTGAATTAAATATTTGTTCCAAAACACTGGATTTAACACGTCTGTGGTGTGAAAAAAAAAATCCAAGGTGATTTTTTATTGGACGTGTAGATTTATATTTATTTTGACCATTCTTTTTTATTCTATCATGTTCAGTTCATTTTTATTTGAACTCTGCTACATACCATGAAAACTCTATATGACAATTGACAGCTAACTACAAACTTCATATGCTATTATATTGCCACAGGGTCTAGGGCTAAAGGTAGTAGATAATGTTGAAGAAGCTGAATTTATTTTGGTCCATGGTACCGAAGCTTTGGGGCTTTCTTCTGGCAACTCTGTTTCCAAGAAGCTTGAGGAGCTTGACAAGATTTTGGAGCAATGTGCAGCTAAAGGAATCCCTATGGTGGTAGCAAATCCCGACTTTGTTACTGTTGAGGCTAGAGAACTACGTATCATGCCTGGTAAACATGTTATTCTTTTTTGAAGTATATAATATTTATATATGGAAAATGCAACAAATAAACTGACGCCCTCCTCACATTTGCTAAGGTTTGAAGCCCTGACCCCCTGGGAGGCCAAAGGGCCGGATACCGCTAGCCCAACATGTAAGAATTAATTCGCTACTAACAAACCGTTCTTGATACTTTTGGAGATCATGGTATGGCGAAATTATTGCAATAGGTTAATGTAAAACTTAGGTAGAGTTAACACATATAGGTTTTGGATTTGTTGAACATTATGTAACAATACCAATGATGAAACTAATAAGGCGTTTGGTTTTATGGAATGTTTTTGAGGGATTTTGATACGAATTGGGAATTAATTAAAAATGATGTTGGCTTGGCCGATACCTAAGCAAATTAAAGGATTACGTGGATTTTTGGGCCTTACCGGGTATTACAGAAAGTTCATCCGTAACTATGGCAGTATCGCCAAACCGCTAACAGAGCTGATCAAGAAGGATGCTTTTACGTGGCATGAGGGAGCAGAAGAAGCTTTTGATCGATTAAAAGAAGCTATGGTCAAGGCTCCTTTGTTGGCCCTTCCCGACTTCAATATTCCTTTCGTGGTTGAGTGTGATGCTTCCGGCCGGGGAATTGGAGCAGTGTTAATGCAACAACAGAAACCTTTCGCTTATTTCAGCAACCGTTAAGCGATCGAAACTTGGCCAAGTCAGCTTATGAGCGGGAAATTATGGCATTGGTTTTAGCCGTCCAACATTGGCGTTCCTATCTATTAGGGACCTCGTTTGTGGTTTATACCGACCAGAAAAGTTTGAAATTCTTATTACAACAACGCATCACTAGCCTGGATCAACAGAATTGGGTGGCGAAATTGTTGGGTTACAACTTTGAAATTTGTTACAAACCGGGTAGGACAAACTGGGTAGGGAAAACCGAGCAGCTGATGCTTTGTCTCGTAGGGCTGAAGAGGGTGGATTATTGACAATTTTCTCAACACCGTTGTGGCTGCAAGGGGTTGAATTAATGGCGGAACATAAGGTTGATTTAGAAATACTAAAGTTGAGGCGTGACTGTGAATCTCAACCAGATGCTCATCCGGGGTATTCGGTTCGTAAGGGAATACTATACTGTAAAGGACGGTTAGTAATTCCAAAGAACTCCAAATTTATTCCCAGTTTGCTAAAGGAGTTTCATCAATCCGCTTCGGGAGGCCACTCCGGGTATTACCGTACTTGTCGACGAATTGCAGGAAATTTATATTGGCCATGCATGATTGAACGAGTTAAGCAATATGTACGTGCGTGTGATGTTTGTCAACGGTGTAAGGCAAGTTCAGTTGCCCCTGGTGGACTTGCAGCCTCTAGACATACGTGATGCAATTTGGGAACATTTTTCTATGGATTTCATTCTGGGACTTCCTAAGTCTAGAGGGTTTGATGCTTTATTAGCGGTGGTAGATAGGTTGTCTAAATACAGCCACTTCATCTTACTTAAACACCCTTATACCGCCAAATCCGTGGCTGAAATTTTTGTTAAAGAATTAGTTCGTCACCATGGAATTCCCAAATCTATAGTTAGCGATCGGGACCCTTTTTTTCCGAGTCAATTTTGGCAAGAGATTTTCCGATCCCAGGGTACTGAGTTACACATGAGTTCCGCATATCACCCGGAGTCCGATGGTCAGACCGAAGTAATCAACCGCTGTTTAGAAACGTACCTGAGGTGTTTTGCAGTTGATCAACCTCGTAATTGGTCTTTGTGGATTCCTTGGGCTGAATTTTGGTATAATTCCACTTTTCATGGATCTAGGAAATCTCCATTCGAGGTGGTTTATGGTCGAAAACCACCAACAATCACCCAATTCATACCAGGGGAAATACGAGTCCAACAGGTGCTTGAAGAATTAAAAGATCGTGATGAAGCTTTGAAACACCTTCAAGTTCATTTGTCACACGCTCAAGAAGTTATGAAGCGGAATGCAGCAAAGAAGAGACGGGAGGTACACTTTGCTGTTGGAGAATGGGTATACGTCAAATTGAAACCGTATCGACAACTTTCAGTGGCTAGTCGCATTCATCATAAGTTGGCGGCACGTTTTTTTGGACCATTTATGATCACAGCAAAGGTAGGATCGGTGGCATACAAGTTAGATCTTCCTCCAACATCGAAGATACATCCGGTTTTTCACGTCTCGTTGCTAAAGAAAGCTGTTCATGGATCCACAGATACAGTTTTACCTCTGGAACTAGATTTACATGCAAATGAAATAATTACCCCAGTGGCTGTGCTAGCCACTCGTACAAGCAAAAATCAAAACAGTGATGTTGAGCAATGGTTGATTCAATGGAAAGGGAAGTCTATAGAAGAAGCAACGTGGGAAGATGCTTTGATGATTAAAAGTCAATTTCCTGAAACAAGTCTTGAGGACAAGACTTTGTCGGAAGGGGGAAGTGGTGATACGGATTGGGAATTAATTAAAAACGATGCAACTAAGCCTAGAATATTGCATGCTTATTCTAGAAGGGGTAAAAAGGGAAATGAGAAAAGTGGCTGAGGTTTGTTAGAGAAGAGAGAAGAATAAATAGTGGAGGGTGATCTTGAAGTCGGGTATTCTGTTATTTTCTTTCATGGTTGTTTAGGCTCCAATCTATTGATTGTGAGAGAGGGGTTTCCCTAAGTTCTCTCTTTTTGTAATCTGGCTGATCATCATCTTCTTCCTTCCATTTCTGTGTTCTTATTCGTTTTACATTGAAGTGAATTCGTTAATCCATCAGATTTGGACTCGTGGTTGGATTTGGTTTCGAAAGGATTTGGAATCTTTGATATGTTTGGTTTGTAGGATTAGTTGAATTCCATTCTTTATAGATAATTTATAAAAACAAATTATAAATAATTGTAAAAATAATTAAATTACCTTTTATAAGCGATCATTACAAAATGAATGTTTTTAACATATTTTCAAACATCCTATGAAATCGGTGAAATACCAACTACCCCCATCTAATTTCTGAATCCATGTTTGTGGGATTTCTGTTCACTGAAATCCAGGATTTCACTTCCATACATTTCTTTAAACTGAACGTGGTCCCACCAAATCCCGCAAACCAAATGGGCCCTAAGTGATCACTTGCACTACTATCAATAACAAGCATTTGAGTTATTAGAAGTTGTTGAGCATGCTGGTCTAGAGATGCTTGCCAAGTTACTTCCTGTCATCAGATCATTCATAGCTTCTTCTGATAATCAATCACTGGGCGAGTGGGCGTCCGACTGAATGTTTGTTGACTCCCAACACTTTGATTTCATGTAGACTTGAAATTAGCCAGCGGCTTTGTATTACTGGATGCGTCTCTGGATATTTATAGCATTCACTCATATATTTATATCATTCACTCATAAAATAATCTTCCTGGCGACAACAAGTGCTGAATAACCTTTCATCATTGAACTCCCTCAAGAACTATAATTCTTTGATACTTATTTGGATCATGGTATGACAAATTGAAATACTTAAAATGCGTCCTTCTTAATTGTCTTAAGTGCACATTAGTCCTCCTAATTGAATTAACTCTTTATTCTTAATAGTAGGATCATGGATATTTTATGAATTGCTGGCCTGTCGGTTGGTATTTGGTACTCTGAAATCATCTTATCCTGTAATTTCAGAGAGAATACGTTATAATTCTCATTGACAAGCAATAGAGGTATTTATACAGCTTAGAGACCTAACTAGAATCCCATAATTTTAGGGATTCGATAACATACAAGGAAAGTTACCAAACTATACAAATATCTACCAAATTTGTTACAAAAGGAAAAATAATCCCAAGAAATCAGGGATTATATTCATTGTATCAATCCCACACCCCCCTCAAGTTGGTTCATATATATATCATGCATGCCCAACTTGTCTATAAGACGATCGAATGCCGGTCTAAATAGTCCTTTGGTTAAGATATCTGTTGTTTGCTCTTTGGAAGGGATGAATGCGATGCAGATAGTCCCATTGTCCAACTTTTCCCATATGAAATGTCGGTCCACTTCAATGTGTTTTGTCCTGTCATGTTGGACTGGATTTTGTGAGATGCTAATGGCTGCTTTATTATCACAAAACAACTTCATAGGTAGCTCAACCTTTAAACGTAAGTCAGCAAAGACCCTTTTGATCCAGATTATTTCACATATGCCATCTACCATTGATCTGAATTCAACTTCTACACTACTTCTGGATACAACACTTTGTTTCTTGCTTCTCCATGTGACAAGATTTCCCATACATAAGTACAATATCCCGATGTAGATCTTTTGCTCATGTTTGGGTCTGCCCAACTTGCATCAGTAAAGGCTCCAATGGTTCAGTTGTCTCCTTTTTTAAAGAGTAGTCCTTTGCCTGGACAACTCTTTAAATATCTAAGAATTCCGTGGACAGCTTCTTCATGTTCTTCATAAGGACAATGCATAAATTGGCTCACCATGCTAACTGCAAAAGCAATGTCAGGCCGTGTATGTGATAAGTAAATCAACCTTCCAACCAACCGTTGGTATTGATGAATATCAACCTGCTTCCCATTAGTAATGCCATCCAACCTTTTGTTGGGGTCAATTGGAGTATCTATCGGTCGACATGCACTCATTCCAGTATCTTGTAAAAGATCGAGAACATATCTCCTTTGTGACAATAGAATGCCCTTACTTGACCTTGCTACTTCCATACCCAGAAAGTATTTCATTTCTCCAAGGTCTTTTACTTCAAAACTCTTTAGCAAGTCGATCCTTCATTCTTTCCATCTCCTCATGATCATTACCTGTGACGAGTATGTCATCTACATAAACTATTAAGGTTGTAATTTTACCTTTTGAGGAAAATCGAGTGAATAGAGTATGATCAGATTGAGCCTGTTTGTATCCGTGAATTTTGACTACTTGAGTGAAACGTGCAAACCATGCCCTTGGGGATTGCTTGAGCCCATACAAAACTTTCTCTAATTTGCACACGTTTGTGCCAAAGTTACTTTCAAACCCTGGTGGTGGCAACATATAAACTTCTCCTAGTTTGCCATTCAAGAAGGCATTTTTCACATCAAATTGCCTAATTGGCCAATCAAGATTTGCTGCTATTGAAAGTAGAATCCTTATGGTATTTAACTTTGCAACTGGAGCAAATGTTTCTGTATAATCAATGCCACAGGTTTGTGTGAAACCTTTGGCTACTAGCCTTGCTTTATATCTTTCAAGGGCTCCATCAGCATTAAATTTTGGAGTAAGTACCCACTTACAACCAACTATGGGAGTACCTTTCGGAAGATCTTCAATACGCCACGTCTGATTCTTCTCAAGATCACTCAATTCCTCTAGAACAGCCTTTTTCCACTCTAGACTTTTAAGGGCTTCCTGTATAGTGTTAGGAATTTGAACTTTGGACACATTTGAAGTAAAAGCAGAGTATTTTGGTGAGTTTTGAGCAAGACATGTAATTGGACATAGGATATTTAACACATGCACGTTTTTCTTTTCTCAAGGCTATTGGAACATTCAGGTCATGTGACTTACCAAGAGATGGTTCCTTCCTCGGTTTGGAATCAGGAGCTGAGATTGTGTTGAACTCTTTGTTTGGAGAGAATCTTTGCACATACACTTTTTCGAACTTTTTTTTTTCTCACTACGATCCTCTTGAGTAACTTGTTGAGGTTCAAATGGTACTTCAGTTTCTTCAGGAGGAATATTATGTTCACTTTCTCGATCTAGTGGTGGTTCTATTGGAACATCTACATTTTCCTCGTGTTCAAAGATTGGACAATCTTTGGGATTTGAGTCAAATGCAGATGGCTCAAATGTAGTTGGAAATACTAGATCCGAAAAATTTAAGTCTTCTTTTTTATTCTCCCCCTGAAGACGAGATTTAAAGAAAGGAATATTTTCTAAAAACTTAACATCCATGGTAACAAACATTTTTCTTGTGTTTGGATGAAAACATTTAAATCCCTTTTTATGTGGTGCGATTCCTACAAAAACACATTTGAGGGCTTTGTGGTCTAATTTGCCAAGGTTGATATTGGTGTTCTTAATAAACACAGTACAACCAAAAACTTTTTAAGGCATGGAACAAAATAATCGTGACTTTAGAAAAGAACTTTCTAAAACGGATATGGGTGTTTGAAACTTTAAAGCTTTAGACGGCATTCGCTTCATTAAATATGTAGCATGCAGAAGAGCATCTTCCCATAAATATTTTGGTATTTCAGTTGAAAATAATAAAGCCCGGGTGATTTCAAGCAGGTGCCTGTTTTTTCTTTCGGCTATGCCGTTTTGTGGTGGAGTATCTACGCATGAGCTTTGTTGAACTATGCCTTGAGTATCTAAAAAATTCCCTAGAGTTTTAGTAAAATATTCCCTACCATTGTCACTTCTAAGAATTTGAATCTTAGTGCCAAACTGAGTTAGAATCATGTTATAGAATTTTTTGAAAACATGTTCAACTTCTGATTTTTCTTTAAGCAAATAGACCCNGTTAGAATCATGTTATAGAATTTTTTGAAAACATGTTCAACTTCTGATTTTTCTTTAAGCAAATAGACCCAACAAACCCTTGTATGATCATCTATAAAGGTAATAAACCATCTATTCCCATGACACGTAGTGACCTTAGAAGGACCCCATATGTCACTATCAAAGCAAAAGGCATAGATGGTTATATGGTTGTGGATGATACGTACTTTTGTGTGGTTTTGCTAACGCAAAAATCTCACATTGAAAGGATGAGGGATTTTTATTACCAAATAACATAGGAAACACATGTTTTAAATAAAAGAAACTTGGATGTCCAAGCCTAAAGTGCCATATATAAATCTCATTATTACTCAAATCAGATGAGGTGAAGAAGCAAGAAGTCTTCTTATTAGAGTGGACTCCCTCATCTAGTATGTAGAGTCCACCACATTCGTCAGCACGTCCAATCATCCTCCCCTAGTCCAGGTCCTGAAAAATGCAAATGGAAGGAAAGAACAAAGCACGATAATTGAGGTTAACAGCGAGTTTATGAATAGAGATGAGATTACAAGAGAGTTTTGGAACATGTAGGACATTAGAAAGAATGAAGTCCGATGATATCTTTATATCACTAACTCCTACTATTGTAGAAAAAGTGCCATCAGCAATTCGCAGTGTTCTATTTCTTGCACAAGGCTTATAAGAATTGAAGAGATTCGAACAAGAAGTCATGTGATCAGATGCCCCTGAATCAATGATCCAGGCTGATGTATTTTGTAAGCACATACGAGAAGATGAATAGTTAGACGAAGGGGTGTTTTTACCAGATTGCACATAGGAATAGGATGGGTCAGCAGAAGAGGACATAGGTCTGGTTTTACGTAATTTCAGGAGCTGCTCCATTTGATCCTTTGTGAATTGAGACTGTCCTGGTTGGATTTGAGTGTCTTGAGTCGTTTTAACTGTGGTGTGTAGGGCTCTTTCAGACTTACCTTCCAGCCGATACGCTTGCCATGAAGCTTCCAACACTTGTCCCGAGTGTGCCAAAACAATAAGGTTTCTTTTTTGTATCACCCCCTTGTTCTATGCCACGGACAAGTAGGGCTGCTGTGTCCCCGACATCAGTAGGTTGGATCCCATTCGTCATTACTTTTCTTCGGCTTTCTTCAAGTCTTACTTCTGAAAAAACTTCTCGGATGGATGGAAGAGGCTTTCAGCCAAGAATTCTTCCTTTAACTTCATCGAGACTTGGGTGAACACCAACTAGGAACATGAACACACGGTCATTCTCCTCTTTCTTCTTCTACCGAGTACAACTGTAGAACTCTCCCACACATCATCATGGCATTGATCCAATTCTTGCCATAATGCTACCATCTCATTATAGTAAGAGGTAACATCACGGTTATCTTGTTTGGCTTGCCACAGATGTGTTTTAATTTCAAAGATCTGGGAAGAATTCTCCAAGTCTGAATATGTCGATCGAGCAGAGTCCCACACTTCCTTGGCGGTTTTCATGAACATATGTGGCTTAGCAATGGACATGTCCATTGAATTGAGTAGCCACGCAGTTACTAAAGAATTCTCAGAACACCATTTACGATATCCTGGATCAGATGAGACCGGTTTTGAAGTTTCACCGGTCAGGAAGCCCAACTTACCTCGACCATCAATGGCGAGTTTCACAGATTGTGACCATTCCAGGTAGTTTTTCCCATTCAAAATATGCACAGTGATCTGCATCGGTGATTGAGAGTAGTCAACTACTGGTGCTGATCAATCGGTAGATGTGACAGTGGAGTTTGATTCGGACTGCGACATGTTGAACTTCGGTTATTAGTTCTGATTATTAACAGCAAATAAGTTGTTAAAACAGATACCTTTGTAGCTTTGATACCATGTAATTTCAGAGAAAATATGTTATAATTCTCATTGAAAGGCAATAGGGGTATTTATACAGATTAGAGACCTAACTACAATCCCATAATTTAAGGGATTTGATAACATGGAAGGAAACTTACCAAACTATACAAATATCTACCAAATCTGTTACAAAATGAAAAATAATCCCAAGAAATCAGGGATTATATTCATTGTATCAATTCTACATATCCTTGTATCCTTTTTGTCAGTCTAATTCTACGAATCACATACACAGTTTAACCTTTTATCGACCGTCAATGTATATTTTCTTAAATCTTTTATTTGTATCATTGTTTGTTTTTGTGTATTTATTCTGTTTGTAGCAACCTATTTCTTTTGCCAATAAGTCAACAAAAGCCTTGCTGCCTTTTTAGCTACATCGGTGAACTTTATAACTACCGTCTTTTTTGTTCCGATTGTAGCTTCAAGGTTTCTGTGTGTAATGCATGATGGTTTTAACGATTCTAGTGTTTTTATTATTGGTTTTAGGTACATTAGCAGCTAATTATGAAAAGCTTGGTGGTGAAGTTAAATGGATGGGTAAGCCTCATCAGGTGATTCACTCATTCTCATTCAAAGCAGCACAATTATTCTTTTTGTTCCCTTTGGGGCTAGATTTTAAAATAAATTTGTTTGAGTTTGTGATGAAGGGTACTAAAAATGGATGATACGTTTCACTTTCAGAAAATAAAATGTGTATGTAATTCATAAGTGTATTGCAGACTTTGGTGCTTACTTAATATCATGGTTCATTAATCCATCAGATTATCTATAAATCAGCCATGGCCATGGCGGGTGTCGATGCTTCCAACTCAATTGCTGTGGGAGATTCTCTACATCACGACATAAAAGGTGCAAATGCATCTGGGATCGAATCTGTTTTTATCACTTGTGGGATCCATGCAACTGAACTTGGACTAACTGGATTTGGAGAAGTTGCTGACATGTCAACTGTGCATGCTCTTGCATCGAAGCATGATGCTTGTCCGTCATATGTATTGCCTTCATTTACTTGGTAATCTCAATACAGGTGAATTATGTATCCTCTTTCCCCTTGTACAATATTATAAATATTTATACAAGATTTTGGAGCAACCTTCATGAAATTTTATTGCAAAGATGGAAGTCTTTGATTTCATCTGACAGTAACCAAAGAATCACTCTGAATATTATTAAACAATATCAAAACCATAATCGATATGAAGATTGTTGAAAGCAAACACTTGGATATATTAATGTTGTTCATACATGCTTCTGTTTGTCTTTTGATAACTGACCAACACAGCTAGTGAAGGGATGGCTGCTATTTCATCATCTTTTCTTTTATCTCAATGGGCCAGACCGGACCGGTTGTGAAGGGATGGCCTATCACGTTTCAGATGGATTTTTGGAGGAATAGAGTTACGGCTCCCAATTTCCAACATTGGATTTTCATGTGTGTGTGTGTGCGCGCACGCGCATGTGCTCATAAAGATGTAGTTGCGAGTAGGAGCTTCACTTTCCTACATTTATGCTATGCATAGTTTCATGTTAGTTCTATTCTTAGGCCATGGCCAACATGTCTTTTTTTAAATTTTGGATTTATTGACGAAATAGATGAACTTTCCCAAAGCATGTTAAAGAACTTGGTTAGCCTTAATAGGTGTAAGCTCTTACTCTTGCCTAACGGTTGGGTATTTTTGGACTTTTCCCTACAATTTACTATTACTAGATAATCACACTTTTTTAAGTGTATCTTTCTAATTCTTCATCAATTATAGATAATCACAACTCTAGAACAAGTATAAAAGATTTCACTCATAATATTCTGAACTTTAGATGGAGCATTTTGAAATATCTCGCATTCCACGTTTCTTATAGGTTCCGTATTGTCCAAGTTCGTAATAAATATATCACGTGTTTACAACTCGATAAACGACATAGAATTAGTTCATACGAGATAACATTTGATTCTTCATATGTTCGACCTTTTTAACATATTTGGTTTACAGACAACACCAAAAATGATACAAGAAAAACATCAATCACAAAGCTTTTCCATAAGCAAACTTTTCATTTTCATCACAATCACCTTACATACTCTTACCTCAATCCAAAAATGAGATTTATATTCTTGATTTCCAAGAAAAAGAAAAGGTAAATGAAGAAGCTTAATTAAGAGTTCTCACAATCCATGCGTTCAATCACTCGGCGTGCCTCCTCCTCTGTGGCTGGAACAACGCTGCGGATCTTCAAACCATTTGTTGTCATGTTTGAGCAGGTCGTAAATGTGAAGTAGAACTTGTTCGATATCTTCAACAATCATCAATTATTTACAAGAAATGTAGATAACAATATTCTATAAGATAAACAAATGTGCAGGCTTACTTACCTCTGCAGATCTAAGCTCAGGTCGCGTCACATGAGCAACAACTTCCACGTTGATCAGAGGTTCCTCCGGGTTCTCAAGTTCTGTGTACAAAACACACGACTTCAAACGCAGAAAATTTCCAACATCCACCTGCACCAGTATCAACAAATCAGATGTTACTCGCACCAAACCAAATGAGCTCATATCCTAACTGGAGGTGGGTCTCGCAGAGGCAGACCTAGAAACTTTTGGCAACATTTGACTACAAAAAACGAAGCTGTAAATACTTTTTACATCATCATTGGTCTGTTGGTTAGTTCTTGCTTTTTATATGTGAGGTCCTGAATTCTGAGTCTTTTATCCCCATTTTTTTCATAATTATAATAAACCTGGAATTAAAAGCCAAAAACTAAGAAATCGATACAAATGAGATTCGAACCCGCACCTGGAGAGGGAGAAAATACGCGCAAACCACCAAGAGAAATTTGTGCTTTATTGTAGTTTCAAGGAGTATACTATTGCAACCAACAAAATAATACGGTTGAACCTTTCACGACCCTAATTTTTTTTACACTACGATGGAGGAACAAAGCGGTGGCCCATGCCACCGTATGCACCATAATGGGTCCGCCCCTGGGGTCTTGGGGTTAAGATGTAAGCAAATCTGGTCTCTAACCTAAAGAGTAGAGAGGTTTCCGCCCAGGCTAGAGAAAAAATGTGTGAAAGGGAGAAGAATAGATATGATAGAAAATGAAAAACTAGATAAAGAGGAATCTATAACGACAAAACTAAGAGAGAGACAAATATGCTAAATTTTGAGAAACCAGATATGAGTAAGCAACAACAATATAAAATAGAAGCAAGTAGAGGAAAAACGTAACCAATGCAGCAGATACTAAACTCTAAGGGCGCGTTTGGTTTGAGGGATTTGGAGGGATTTGGATTTGAAATCCATTCCAATCCCGCGTTTGGTTTGTAGAAATGGTCGGATTTCAAATCCCGAGATTCATTTAAAATCCCACCAACACTGGATTTGAGAATCCTTCGCCCTTACACTGGATTTAAAATCCATTCCCATCATCGTCTCCTTCTAACCGAATCCTTCTCGATCGTCTCCTTCTAATCGAATCCTTCTCATCGTCTCCTTCTCATCATCGTCTCCTTCTCATCGTCTCCTTCTCATCGTTGTCTCCTTCTCATCGTCGCCACCGTCGCCGTCGCCCTTCGTCTACGTCGCCACCGTCGCCGTCGCCCTTCGTCTACGTCGCCACCGTCGCCCTTCGTCTCCGTCGCCACCGTCGCCGTCGCCGTCGCCACCGTTCGTCAACAGTCGCCCTTCGTCTCCCTTCGTCTCCGTCGCCTATCGTCTACAGGTAAATCATTTTCCCCTTTTGGATTTCTCTCTAAACTATGAACACATATTAGGTTAATCCTTCAATTTTGATAGATTAGGTTGAATATACATGAACACAGATTAGGTTAAATCCTTCAATTTTGACAGATTAGGTTGAAATCTCATGAACACAGATTAGGTTAAAAAAAATTATACGAAGTATTAGAAACCAAATCCTACAAACCAAACAGAGGATTGGATTTCAAATCCAATCCAATCCAAATCCCATGGAATCCAAATCCCTCAAAAACATTCCCGCAAACCAAACGCACCCTAAGCATATTCATGGCTGCAATACTGAAAAAGGAAACAGGGGTGCAAAAAGGAAATAAAGTGAGCCAATTGAATATGCAACCTTTTCTTGATGGACACAGGCTATAACAGATGCCTGCATACAGGAAGCATAACATCAAGTTGGTCCAAATGATGAGGTTTCTACATAACTCAATATACCCTTTCTATAGTTTTAGATGATTTCAAACTGTTGTACCCTTACCCTGTTCTTCAATTATACTACATTCAACAATATTAATCTCTAATTGTGCTCATCTTTAATAAGGATGAATGGCATTCAATATGATAATCATGGTGAAGATGCTAAGCATGAGCAGCTAAGCACACTAATTGCTCTCAGGGAATGATGAAACCTAGGTTGTAACTTTGATTTTTAGTTCTAATTAATCGTATTGTTGTTCTACTGGAATCTTGAGATGAAATAACCATTACCCTATGGAGACTATATATAATCTTCACTTTATATCCATATATGCATAATGAATGTAGAACGCTTACAGGTTTCAAGAAATCAACATGATCAACCTCAAGAAAGCTGGGTGCACTGCCAGCAAAGGCATAAGTGGTTGCAAAAGCCAGCTCGAAAGCTCTTCGCATCAGAAATCCTCCAAAAATCCGGCCATGGGTGTTCCTTTGCTGTGGCTGGCACACCAACGCGTTTTGTAAGCATGTATCCTTCATAAGAATACTATCTCTGTCAGCCAAAGCCGGCATATCAATAAACACACGTCCCTCAGCCAGCAGCGCGTTAATCCTCTCTGCTTCCCTCTCGTAATCAAAGTTCTTTAGTTGCATCCTTCTCTTTTTCCTTGATGCGTTCCTCTCTTCTGCTTCTTGCCAAAGCAATTTCTCCTTTTCAGTCTCCGGCATGATTTGATTAATCGTTGCTGATTTGCCCGTCTTAGAGTCACGACCCACAAAAGTGAAGTTCGCAACTAGAGCTTGTGAGTCCAGAGGATCAGAAGTTTCTGCAGACTTATGAACATTAACCATTTCTGAAACTAATATAGAGCTTGCACTATCAAAGAAAATATAAATCATCAGATGAGGCACCACATCAACATATTTAGGAACCTAACAGAAATCTAGTTTCATCTAGAAAACCAGAATTCTCAGGACAAGACCTCCGATAGGAGCTACTGAAAACGTAGGACTAGGGGTGGGGATCCATAGCGAGAGTAGATGGGAGGTGGGGAACTGAAGAGGTAGGTGTGTGAAGTGTCCTTAAATTGGTTGCGTTTTCCTTGCACTTGCTTCAATTTGTATGTTATTGCATTCTCTTAACCAGTTTTTCAAATCTCTAACATTTCCGACTCTCTTTGTCACACTTCTCACAAGCCGGGGTTCTTCATGGAAACAAACGCTCTACTCTTCGGGGCAGATGTCAGGTCTGCTGCGTAAGACCCTACCTCTAAGTGGGATATACGGAGTTTGTTTGATTTGGTTTGGTTAAGAAAACTAGAAAGCCTGGCTTGGATGTTGTGACAGTAAAATCCATATTTCATGAAGAATTAAACGTAGTTTAATATGCAAACAACCAAAGATTAGCCACTTGATTATACCGTGGATGACTTCTAGCTGAATCTCCATAGACGAACGACCAACCCAAGTAACAGCTCCAACTATTTTCAAATCCGTGTCAACCAGAATCGGTTTTTTAAGAACCATTTTGTCCACAGAAGCAGTCACTAGCAACAAGGAATTCGCCATGCCAGCATGATTGAAGCAATGCTGGGTCACAGATTCAACAGAAACCACTAACGTTATGAATACTGGGTCATTCATGATGAAAATGCTTTCTAACAATCAATTGAAGTTGAATCAAACATGTCACACCAACAAAATCGGCATTATATTAACATTAAAGCTTTTTGAATGTCTTAATAGACTGTTTTTCACGACTTGATCACATCATCTTGGGCGTATTTTATAAAAACAAGTTTACACTTTATTTCAAAAGGGTCCCAAATAAAACTTAATAGGATGCCCAAATGTAAGACTTTTATACAGCACTAGCACTTTTGTAAAGCAGCCTATAGGGTAATTTAGTTTTGTTGCCAATTCAACAAGAATGCATATAATGGACACGAATTCGAAGGAGGAGATAGAGACTGAAGGTGCATACTTTAAAGGAGATAGTTCCGGCGAGAGCATCAAGGTCTTCTAGCAATTTACCCACGCGAATCCCGTTCCAGGGATTTCTATACTGTTCTCTGAGAATGTAATCAGTAGAAAAAGGGTATAGAATAGCAGTCCGGCTGAAAGATGGAGTTTTACTGGTGATGGAGTCGACACCAGAGGTGCTGGTGGTGCCGAAAATGGTGGATCTGGCTTGCCAAAGAGCATTGGTCACCGGTGAATGGTACATACCAGGCCACAAACTAACAGGCTTGCGCAAGGAAGATCCGGCGTCAATGGCGGAGGCATCGTCGTCATGCTGATGTTGATTACTGGGGGAAGAAACCGTGGAAGCTACAGAGATGGGATCAATCCCGCCGGAAAAAGGTGAGTCTGGTGGCGATGAAAACGAATATGACCTGCAACTACAAAACAGAAGATAGAATATTGGGGAATTTTTGGAGGAAAGATTGAAGGTTTTGTGGGGGTTTGGAGATCCATAATCTAGATTATGAAAAGCAGATGGGTATCCGGGTTTCTTGGCAACACACCAAAATCTTATTGCTTTCATTTCGTCTGATTTTGCTCTAAAAAAAGATTGAAGGTTTTTAGTGTTGATAAGAGTTAGAATAGAAGAGTGAAGTACATATTTCGTCCCTCCTCTATGATTACTTTCTGGTTTTTGTCCCTCAAATTTACAAAGTACAATTTTGGTCCATTTTTTGTGTTTTAGTCTTCAAACTAGTCCCTCCCATCAATGGGGTGAGATTTGTGGCCACTAGAAATGGGATGTGCCGCTTACAAGAGGGTTATTTTGGTAAGAGACCAAAAATGTAATTCATTCTAAAATCTTTGTTTCTTTTTTCTTTTAGTGTATCACATCTTATCTTTGGTTCTTTATCTATTTTGATTCTGGAAATTACATTTTTGGTCCCTTATTTTCATGTACAAATAATTAATGAATTTCAACAAAAGTAAGTAAATAAAAATTAATGATCAAGAACATTCATCATATAAGAACATTTTAACTTCAATTATGAACAACATCAAGAACAATGGGACAATACCTATAAACTTCAAAGAACATTTTATGGTATTCCAAAAATTTGTATACAAGACCATAAATTAAAAACATCTTAACTATAAGAATAAACTTCACTTTTGGTCCCTAACATTTGTCATTTTCAATGAATATCATCCTTAAACTTTGAAAATTTCGAATGTCCCTCACGTTTGTCAATTCCCAACAGTTTTGGTCCCTCTGTCTAAAGGCCGTTAAGTTTTTCAGCTACATTCATCTAAATGAGGGGCATTATGGTCATTTCAATTCTTTCTTTACTTTTTCTATTGTTTATGGAAGCCAAAACACCTCTCCGTATTCATGTTTAGAGGAGGGTAGCAAGGGGGTTTCATCGAGAAAGGGAGGGGAGGGGAGAAGGAAGGACTAGTGTTGGCATAGGTAGGTGAAGACGGAGAGGGATTCACCACTCGGTGTCTTGATGAATGGAGAAGATGGTCGTCGTGTGTTGGACGAGGAATGGAAAGGTTTTAGGTGGCAGCGACGACTCTTAAATGAGGAATCGAGGCATTGGATTCTTACCAATGTCTGCATTATCTTGAAACAGGATCATTTTGGCTCAACTTTATCCAAATCGGAAGTCTAGTTCAACCGTTCAGCGTCACAAACTTTTTTTTTTCACATTAGAGGTCTCTATCTCAGTTTCATATCATATAGAATTTTTGACCAAAAACAAAGGTCTTAGCAAAGTCGTAAGACCATGTATGGAGGCGAAGATGATCTCCTCTTGAATGTGTTCATGTAATCACAAGTATAAAAAATGATCAAAACAAAAAAATGTCGTAGATAAGGACCAAAACCAAAAAAAAATTGACATAGATAAGGGGACCAAAAATGTAATTAGCTCAACGAAAAATAAGAAACAAAGATTTTAGAGTGAATTACATTTTTGGTCCTTCATCTAAAAAGACCAAAATGTCCCTCACTTGAGGGGCACATGGCATGCCTAACGGTCACAAATCTCACGATATTAACAGACTAGTTTGGCTTACAAAACATGAAAAATTGACCAAATGTGTACTTACGAATTTGAGAGATGAAAACTAAAAAGAGGCCATAGATGAGGGACTAAAAATATAATTCACTCTTTGAAATACTAATAATGACAATAATAATTAATAATATTAATGGTTCTAATAAAGAAAATAATATTTAATAGTCATCAATCTTTATGTATATAAAAGAAAAACCTTGAGATATTGAAGTGACACCATGAGAATTGAGTATTCTCAAATGATGAATTGTTGTTGAGTTTTTTAGTTGTCCTACATTGGCGAGAGGTTGGAATATTTGAACAAGGTGGTGTGTAGAAGAAAGATGAAATGAATGCCTTTGTGTCAATTCATGGGGTTTGACTTAGAAAATTGTCATATGTTGGTTGACCACTTTGAAATCTATAACCATGGTTGGAATCAAAACCATCTTTGGGATATTGAGGTGGCACCATGAGAATGGATTATTTGAAATATGTAATCCATGGTTGAAATCTAAACCAACCAAATGGTAAAAATATAATGCAAAACACAGTTAAAATATCATGTAAAACACAAAGTTGAAAACAAATTATTCATTTTGCAATATATCAATCATCTTGAAATAAGGTTGGGTTTCATCATCCCACATTAGTGGAGAGATGATAGTTTGAAAGAATATGAAAGATATATAAAATGAGTGATGAATGATTTGAAATTTGTAAACATGGTTGGAATAAAAACCAACCAAATGATAAAATTATAGTGCAAAACACAGTTAAAATTTAAAAATATTTAAATATAAATGTAAAAAACCATAACATTGATGTTGCACCCAAATAATTGAGTAATCCTCATTTTTCTTCAATTATGGTTGAGTTTGTTTTATCCCACATTGATAGAGAATGAAAGATTGACAATGAATTATATATATATATATATAACGGCGAAGAAATGCTTCGGTAATAATAGAAAGAATGCCTGATAATACTTCAGCACTGAGCGGATATGCGTACACCCAAGAGCTATTAACCGGACCTAGTACGCAATGTCAAGAGTTGATGCGCCTCTCACGTGAAGCGTATATACTGTTATGCAATCATTTTAGACAAAGAAATTGGGTGAAGGACAGTAGACATGTTAGTGTAGAAGAGAAAATGGCAATGTTTTTGACGATGATCGGCCATAACAAGCATTACAGAGTGATTAAACATAGATTTCAATGCTCTACAAGAACTGTTCATGTTTGTTTCCATGAAGTTTTACTGGGTATGATGGAATTTGCAAGAGAAATAGTGGTGCCAACAACTTCTGATACAACTTTAAATACGTCGAGTCATCAAAGACGTTTGAGAGAAATATTTTCGGTAAGACTTATGACGTTTTAATTATATAGACACACACATATACTGTATTTAATCTTTTTTCTGTTAATGAAGGGTGCAATAGGTGCTCTAGACGGTACCCTTATACATGCAATTGTGCCAGCTAGTCATCAAACTACTTACAGGAGAAGAGGAGGCGGTCGATGATATCAAAATGTTCTAGGAATTTGTGATTTCAACATGATATTCACTTTTGTTTGGGCTGGATGGGAAGGTATAGCGCATGATTCTAGAATACTTAGGGAAGTTGCTTTTAACCCAAGATCTGGTTTTCCCTTTCCACCACAAGGTATAAACCATTCTCAATTTGTAATTTGTTTTTTTGCTCTGAATATTATACTATTGATGTGGGTCGTTTTTCAGATAAATATTATCTTTGTGATGCTGCGTACGCCAATGCTCGTGGATTTTTAGCTCCATATCGTAACACAAGATATTGGTTGGCAGATTTTCGACGTCGATGTGCTTTGACTAGAGAAGAAAGGTTTAATCATGCACATGCCCAACTCATAAATATTATTGAACGTGCTTACGGTGTCTTGAAAGCGAGATTTCCGATCTTGAAGCAGATGGCTCCCTTTCCATTTACAACACAAAGAAATGTGGTAATTGTTTGCTTTGTGATTCATAATTTCATCATAAAATATATTATTCAAGACCAGTTGTTTATGGAGTGCAATGAGGATAGTATATTTAACAACGAAGAAGAAGTCGAAGGAAATGGATAAGAAGAACTGGACATTTCCCAATGGGGTGTTAATAGCACTCAATATATGGCTACTTTGAGAGATGAAATTGCAAATAGTTTGGTCAATAATGTTTGAGCTTGGATTTCTTTTTTTTGAACTTGGCTACTTTGTGTTTGAACTTGGATTTTTTTGTTTGAACTTGGCTACTTTATGAATTTATGTTTTAATTTTTCGGTGATATCAATGAATTTATGTCTTGATCTTTAGATGATATAAATGAATTTATAAATTTATGTTTGATATTTAAATATTTTATTTTTCATAAATATCATTTGTCTTAAAAATGAACAACAATTTATTAAACAGCGCGTAATTCATCCTCAGGGGTAAATTGGTCATTTCTGTTATTCAGACTGTTGATTCAGATAGAAAAGTAAGCAGCAACATAAATTTATCCAGACAGACAAATTTATCCATACAGTTGTTAATAGAAAATTTGATAAACAGCCCCTTACTCTTCTTCGATCAATACAATAACCGGACAGGTCCCAATCCGGTCAACACTGTGGCCGGACTACCAACTTCAAAATCATCCTAACACTTTATCTGGTCAACAAGGTGACCGGACATTCTCAATCCGGTCAATATAGTGACCGGAGATGAACTCAATTCGGTTAACAAGATTTTCCAAGAACATTACAAAGTTCAATATACAACAGATGAAATCACATGCATAAGATGTTTAAAATCACTCACCTTATGCAGTTATCAAATTCTTGAAGATAATTATTAAGATCAAATTGAATCTTCAGCTTAGCACAAACTTCTCCTCTCCCAATTTTCCACAATGACCAGAAAAACTCAACTTATGAACCTTACCACATATATATAACCCTTTCCATAAATAGAAAGGTGGCTACACATATGCATGTATGTATATTAATTGTGCATGCAAACCATGCACCATGCATATAAATACATCACATAAACACATACACTTATTTATGCATATCTCATGCATACATGCACACCATACACTCACATATATAAAAATTATCTTTCGAAATTTTTACATGCACGTTTTGAGTATATCTTCCATGTATGAAAATAAACACATTTTCACACATTAAACTTGTATAAGCATGTATTCACATGATTATTTATAACAATTAATCATGCACCCACATAATCGTATATCAAATAATCACATATTGTTTACCTCAAGTGATAGTCAAGACTTGGTGATCACATTATCCACCCCTCAAAAGAAGGAATTCATTCAGTCAAATAGTCATGGATACTCAGTTCTCATTTCCGATTCCAATTCTCTGGTCGCCTCAGATCCCTTGTGATAATGCCACTGAACTCTTACCAAATTGATTTATTTATTCCGCAGAACCTTGGTTTTTCGATCAGTTATTGCTTCTGGTGTTTCTATAAAATTCAACTTACTGTTTAGCCTGACTACTGGTAGAGGCACTGCCAGACTCGAATCTGCCAAACACTTCCGCAGATTAGACACATTGAAAGTGTTATGAATAAAACTAAGTTCCTCTGGTAACTTCAACTGATACGCAACCATTCCTATTCGCTTGCAGATTCTGAATGGCTCGATGTATCTTGGACTGAGCTTACATTTCTTACCGAATTTGACTATCCCTTTCCATGGCGAGACTTTCAACATCACATAATCTCTTACAAATAATTCAATCTTTTTACGACGTCTATCAGCATAGCTCTTCTGACGGTCTTGAGCTATTTTAATCTTTTCTCTGATTTGCTCAATCTTCTTAAAAGTGACTTGAACAATTTCCGGCCCTATTAATTTTCTTTCACCTACTTCATTCCAGCACAACGGTGTTCTACCCTTACGACCATATAGAACTTCATATGGTGTCGCCTGAATGCTGAAATGGTAGCTATTGTTGTAGGCGAATTCAATTAACGGCAGATGATCTTCCCACAATCCCTCGAAATCTATAACACATGCCCTCAACATATCTTCAAGAGTCTGATTGTTCTTTCACTCTGCCCATCAGTCTGTGGATGATACGCCGTACTCAACTGAATCTGAGAATCCAGAGCTTTCTGAAAACTTTCCAAGAATTTTGAGGTACATCGACTATCCATGTTTGAGATGATAGACAACGGAACCCCATGTCTGGTCACAATCTCTTTAATATAAATCATTGCCAACCTTTCTAACGGATAATTCTCTTTTATCGGAAGAAAGTGCATAGATTTTGACAGTCGATCCACAATTACCCATATGGCATCATATCCCTTTGGAGTTCAAGGTAATTTCATCATGTAATCCATTGTGATATGATCCCACTTCCATATAGGAATTTCTATTGACTGTATATTCCCATATGGTCTTTGATGTTCAACTTTCACTTGCAGACATGTTAAACATCATTCCACATACTTTGCTATGTTTTTCTTCAGTCCAAGCCACCAATAAAATGGTTTTAAATATTTATACATTTTATTAGTGCCAGGATGAATAGAATATCGGGATTTATGACTTTCGTTTAAAATAATTTCTCGGGTATTCCCATAGCACGGAACCCAAATCCGGCCTTGAAAACATAAAAGTTCCTTATTATTCTTTTCCAATGTGGAAATCAGTTTACCCAATCGTTCAGACTTGAAGTTACCTTCTTTAATAGCTTCCTCCTGAAATTTTGCAATTTCATCATGAAGATCTAGCAAAAGATTCATTCTCATAGCCACAGCCCTGATCGTACCACTCTTCTCCTTTCTGCTCAAAGCATCTGCTACCACATTAGCTTTCCCCGAATGGTAAAGGATTTCACAGTCATAGTCATAATCATTTACCAGTTCAATCCATCGTCGTTGCCACATGTTTAGCTCCTTTTGATTGAATAAATGTTGGAGACTTTTATGATCTGTGAAGATCTGACACTTAGTACCCAACAAGTAATGCCTCCAAATCTTCAGAGCAAAAACTATGGCTGCAAGCTCCATATCATGTGTTGGATACTGTTTTTCATGATCCTTCAGTTGTCTGGATGCATACGCAATTACTTTCCCCCTCTGCATCAGAACATAACCCAAACCCAACTTCGAAGCATCACTGTAGACCATGAAATCTTCTGATCCCTCTGGTAATGGCAGAACTAGAACGCTACACAGACGATCTTTTATTGACTGAAAAGACTTCTGTTGATCTTCTTCCCACTGAAACTTAATGTTTTTTCGTGTCAACTTCTACAAATGGCACTGCAATCTTGAAGAAATCTTAAATGAATTTCCAATAATATCCTACTAACCCTAGGAATTCTTTCAAGTCTGAATACAAAGGGGGAGAATGTTAGGACTGAAATTCAATATTAAATTGTATTCGTCTTGAAAGTTTATTTTGTCTATAATTGTTGAAAAGTCATCGTGTTTGACTTTTCTTAGATAGGTTTGACTTTGATTTTTGACTAGTTGTTTGACCCTATAAATAGGTTATTAGTCTTTGTAATCTGGTAAGAACTTCATTTGTAAAATTCATCTGGTAAATCTTGACTTTTTCTCTCTATCTCCTCTCAAAGTTCTTACAAGTTCATATTCAGATTTGCCATGGATTCATGAATGTTTGAAGTTTTATCTTGAAGATTGATCATAGTGACCTCACAGAAACTACGGACCTCCGAAGGAGTTCTCGGTGCCTCCCATTTCTCTACTGCTTTAATCTTAGCAGGACCAACCTTCACTCCTGTTTTAGATATAACGTGACCCAGAAATTGAACTTCTCTTAACTAGAATTCACATTTGGAAAATTTAGCATACAACTTTTCTTTCTTTAGAATCTCAAGAATCAAATAAAGATGCTCAACATGCTCTTTTTCAGATTTTGAGTATATAAGAATATCATCGATTAATACAATAACGAATTTTTTGAGATATTCATTACATACTCAGTTCATGAGATCCATGAAAGCTGCAGGAGCATTGGTTCGGCCAAAAGGAATAACTAGAAACTCATGATGTTTATACCGAGTTTGGAAAGCAGTCTTGGGAACATCTTCTTCTCTGACTTGTAACTGATGGTATCCTGACAGCAAATCGATCTTTGAAAAGTAACTGGCTCCCACCAGCTGATCAAATAGATCATTGATTCTTGGTAAAGGATACTTATTTTTAATCATTAGTTTGTTCACTTCACGATAATCAATGCACATCCGCATTGATCCATCTTTCTTCTTGACAAACATAATCGGAGCACCCCAAGGTGAGGTACTAGGTCTGATGAAACCTTTGTCAAGAAGATCTTTCAACTGTGTGACCAATTCCTTTAACTTCGACGGTGCTATCCTGTACGGTGCTTTTGCCACTGGTGCTGCCCTAGGTACCAGATCTATGATAAACTCGATAGATCTATCTGGCGGTAGACCAGTTAAATCTTCTGGAAAGACTTCTGAATAATCACACACAACTAGAATCAACTCTTTATTATCTTTTTCTTTCTTTGCATCTACCACATAGGCCAGATAACTCTGACATTTTTTCTGAATACACTTTCGTGCTTTCAGAATTGAAAACAAGTTGATATGGTGATGATAAGTATCAATTTATTTGATACTTTTACACGTTTTTCTTTACTTTATTTACCCATTTTATTTTCCCAAAATTCCGCAGAGTGAGTTTTTTTGTTTCGTTTTTCTATTTTTTTTTATATTGAAGCTAAATTGATATGATAAACATGTTTACTTCTTGGATATGTGCTGATTTTTGGGAAAATAGCCATGTTAATAGGTATTTGTATGAAGCATGTTTTAGCGTGTGCTGCAGGACGATTCCAGGGGCACTTTTGAGAATAGTATGGGGAATCTTTTGAGGTCAAATCCCCCCTTTTAGCAACCCATCTCCTGCAGATTTTTAAGATCTCATGGTACAAATTCAAGATCTAATTTTTTACTATTATCTAGGTAGCATGGCTTTACCCATTGGACTATGTAAAAAATTGGGTAAAGTCTTTATCTTTTGGTCATTGTCCTCCTTTCTCCTACTATATAAAGGGGGAGGCTTGGCATTGTAAAGATAAGCAATTCTAGAGAAACAATCTAGTAAGAAACATAGAAGTAGTTACTTTGAATGTTGAAGGTTCTTTTGGATATAAAGTTGTGCTTGGAAGTATTTTATTTTTCTTCTTTATAATTCCTCTTTATATTTATTTTTTCTAATATCTTTTATTCTATTATGCTCTACTTATTATGCTTTATTATTATTCATGCAATTAATTTTTCTATTTTAAGCATTGTTAGTCGCTTTTATAATTCCGCTTGGCATTCATTTCTTCTACTTTATTCTCCTTTCTTATGCATTATTATTTACGCAATTAATTTTTCAAGTATGTTAGGCTAAAAATATAGCTTGGGTGTTGGGTGACGTTAAGAGAAAAACCGAATCCGTTTGTAGAAATATAAATAATAAATCGTTACAAATTCAAATTTTTATTGCAAAAACGTCATCCATGGACAAGTTGATCACTTGTTTAAAAGTGTTAAAGTGTGTTGGATTTAGAGATAAACCAACAAGCACACGTCAACTTGAATGATATGGAAGTAGGCTCGAGAGAGTTACTTGGAATCGAGGAGACTCGTTTTCACTCCATTTAGCTTGTAAAAGGAATAGTTTGAGTCAATGTCAAGATTCCAGCCTTGCATAGAGATATGAAGGTTTAATCTATGACTGTGTGTCATTCTATATCTCGAGAGAGTACCTTAAAGAAGCTATTAGTTGTAAAGATAAGTTATTTATAAAAGCATGTTATAGAACCATGCTATAGCATGTTGTCTACTTAAAAATCGGTTTAATATCTTAACAAAATCCCTACACCATAAGCTCTCTTTTATTACTTGTTCACAACAGTAGTTTTTAATCAACTCACCACAAATATTTCTTTGAATTCACCATCTGAAATCATATCTTTATTTATACTATTAAAACGAACTTTTATTCCTTTTCTCCATGGACGATATTCGGTATTTTTACCACTTTATTACTTGTAAAAGACGATAGTGGATTGATGAGTGTATAATTGCACTAGTTTCCATTTGCTAACAGTCCGAGAGATTTATTTTATATAATTCTCGTAACAGGTGATCCTGCCGATCACCATAAATAATAATCGGTCCTTTCCCGGGCAGATCAATACTGATCATTTTCTTATTACACATAATACTTGCCCGATTCTCTGCTAACCAATCCATTCCCACCACAACGTCGAATTCTTTCATCGCCATTGAAACAATTGGATCGGCAGCCCACACCCCTCAATTTTAATTATGCAATTATTGAACACATAAGCAACAGGTTCTTGACTATTAGAAGTTTCAACTACTAATATATCATCAAGTGGCACAGAAGTCATACATGCAGACTCAACAAATGAATGTGACACGAACGAAAAATTTGCACCTGAATCAAATAACACCTTAGCATATATAGAATTTAGAAGAAATGTACCTGTTACCACGTCAAGTGTAGCCTCGGCCTCATTCTTTGTCATCTGAAATGACCGACCCCTCCTTGCCCTCCTCTAGATAGATTGGGTCTTCCATGGGCACTCAATGCATTACTTCCCATAGTCAACTGCGGAGTCTTTAATAGTGGGCAGTTGGGTTGAATATGATCTGGTGAATTACAATTAAAGCACCTCCTAGTAACCGGACAGCTTCTCGACAAATGACCTGCCTCACCACATTTGTAGCATCTTCTCAGGTTCGTCTTACAATCACCTGATGAATCTGTCAACAATCACCTGATGAATCTATTATCATACCTTACTGTTTTTAACCCTCGATAATCAGATGAAGGTCCTTCCCATCTCCTTTTGTCAACTACTTTTCCTTCTTCTTGTTTGTTCTTATTTCTTTAAGTGACCTCTGTCGCATCGACGGTTAATGAGAAAGTGGTAGGATTCATAGCAATCACAAATTCTCAAATTGAAGGCTTTAAACCCCAAATATATTGTTGGTCCCTTGAGGGTCTACAAGATATGTATAATAGTTTGTAGAAGGGGGAGGATGAATACAAACACGGTATTTTCTAATTTAAAATGTATATTGATAAAAGAAGATCAATACAAATTTTCTGCCTAGTAGGAGCATTGACAGGGGAATTTTCTGTATCATCAAGATTAGGGCGGGCAATCCTTTCAGATCTTCGAGTTTGGCTAGACATCTGCAAATTTCAACATTAATAATCACGTATTCACCTTCCCAAATATAATGAAGTATCTAAGTTCAGATATGTACCTGTAAATTCATAATTACATTGGCCAGATGTAATTCGAATTTACCTTACATACTTTTCTTTTAACTCATCATATTTCTTTCCAATGGTGCTAACTATGTCCGGGACCCCTAATCATGCAATGAAATAGTTTAAGTCTAGGTATCATGCTTTAAATACCTAAATCGTTTAAACTCAAGCTCTGATACCACCTTGTGTAACACCCACATCATACATTGCATATAACATATACTTCATTCAAAAGAAATACATGTATTACTCTACTTAGGTCTCATAGTACAAGAAATTAACGTACAAAATACATAACTCAAAAAATTCCAAAAAACAGGTTCTTATACTAATTAACCTTTAACTTCAAAACTAGATTCATCCAGAAGATGATCTTCACATAGTTATGCACATAGGAAAATAATTACATTTTCCCCTTCCCCTTACCATCATGTAACCCTTTAGGTCCTGCAATACATATTAGAAAGACAAAATGAGGGTTAGACCAGAAGGTCTAGTGAGATCCCCTTTTTCATGTAATTGCAGCGCACCAAAACTTTATTTAAAATCAACTTTTCATGTAAACAGATACATAACCACATAGTTTACCACAACTAGTACCCCTCTGATTTCCAAAGCCAAACTCTGACTTTATAAGTAGTTTATTAGCAAAAGCAAGGCTAGAGCCTTTCAGATTCAACATAACTCGTCCCAAAGCACTTTTCATCAAAAATACGGTTATTTAAAACCTCTGGCAAAAAGCCAATTATCTTCTTCTTAATAACATCACTACTACCATTTCCAATAAGAACCATGTTCCTGAATCTTTAAATTACATAGAAATAAGGACTCAGAGCCATCGTAATCTTAAAGAACATAATAGTAAGAGTTGTATTAATAAACACATACACAAATGCCACCCTTATATCCAAAGGTACACCTCTCCTTGATACGCCACCTTTATCCCAAAATACACCTCTCCTTGATATGCCACTCTTATTTCCACATCAAAAATCTATAGATTGCTTCCAAAAAGGACAGACCGAAGTCACAAACGCCCTGATGGAACATCATCTATAATTTTAACAAGTAGCGGTTTCAATACAGTTTCGTATCAAAACTTTAAAATTTCAGAACCATTGTTCTTTATTTTATTTTCAATATTCAACCTTACATTTTCAACATAAAACAACGTAAATAAACAACTTATTAATTAAGTGAACTTATTTTGCCATTCATGTATAAACCCAGCTGGACTTCATATCCGGTCAACCCAAAATCCGTACAGGCTTTGGCTGGACTTCCCATCCAGACAACATTGTCCCAATTCAATTCAAGATATTGGAATCCGCTCAACAATAATAAGATAACAAATCATAACTCTAATCCGGTTAACTCTTGGCCGGACTTACTCTTCTCCGATCAATACTATAACTGGACAGGTCCCAATCCGGTCAACATTGTGGCCGGACTACCAACTTCAAAATCATACTAACACTTTATCCGGTCAACAAGGTGATCGGACATTCTCAATCCGGTCAATATAGTAACCCGAGATGAACTCAATTCGGTTAACAAGATTTTCCAAGAACAATACAAAGTTCAATATACAACAGATGAAATCACATGCATAAGATGTTTAGAATCACTCACCTTATGCAGTTATCAAATTCTTGAAGATAATTATCAAGGTCAAATTGAATCTTCAGCTTAGCACAAACTTCTCCTCTCTCAATTTTTCACAATGGTCAGAAAAACTCAACTTATGAACTTACCACATTTATATATACCCTTTCCATAAATAGAAAGGTGGCTATACATATGCATGTATGTATATTAATTGTGCACGCAAACCATGCACCTATGCATATAAATACATCACATAAACACATACACTTATTTATGCATATCTCATGCATATATGCATACCATACACTCAAACATATAAAGATTATCTTTCAAAAAATTTACATGCACAATTTGAGTATATCTTCCATATATGAACACATTTTCACACATTAAACTTGTATAAGCATTCATTCACATGATTATTTGTAACAATTAATCATGCACCCACATAATCATATATCAAATAATCACATATTGATTACCTCAGGTGATAGTCAAGACTTGGTTATCACAACATTTTATAAAATGAAAGAAGAAATCAAGTGATAGAGAGAGAGCGAAAAGTTTACCTGGATTTTTTTTGTTGAAGAATAATGGTTTGTAAAATCACGAATATATCAAATGATAGAGGGGAAGATAAAAAAAATTATTGATGGACAAATTATGGAGAAACACAAGATATATGTGTATATATATAAATATATTATTTAATTAATTTTTATATAGATTAACTTTTTAAGAGGGGCGTTCAAAATGAACCAACACCATGAGTTTGGAAAGTTGGTTAAAATGAGCTAACAACATGAGTTAGGAGATCAATTAAAGGGAGCCAAGTTGCCTCAAAGGCATCTCAACCTCTTTTCATATATATATATATACATACATATATAGAAGTTGGTTTAAATACTAACCCATTTTTTTGTGTTAACTATGCTAACCAACATCAACCAATCATGTTCATTCTTTTAGTTAGGTTCAAATGTAACTCACATATTAAGTGTAAGGGTATTTAGGTAATTTATCATTTTTATGTAACTCCCCAATATTTTAATTGGGAGTTACAAATCTTAAAATATCACTAATTGATCTTCATGTAATAATGACATGAAGTTTCACATTTGCTCATCTTACTGATTTTTACATTTCATTATTCCTACAATGGTTTTGATATTGTAAATTTCAAAAAGGTCTCTTTTGTAAAGATTCCGTTATAGTCCGAGTAATTTGGATAATCATAGAGTAAAACAGATCGACGACAATGAGAATGAAAAAGCTAAAAGCATCTACGAATACATTCGGAATTCAAATTACGAAAGTGAAGAAAATGATTAAAGCGTTCACGCACATGTTCACTCAAACGTCGACATATGTGTTCATTCGTGCACATATRTGTTCAATTGGTTCACACAATATGTCCATTTGGTTCACACACATGTTTCAATTGTTCATTAGGTTCACACATTGTTTTGATGAAGATTATGAACCTAATTTTTCAATTGTTCATTAGGTTCACACATTGTTTTGATGAAGATTATGAACCTAATTTTCAATTGTTCATTAGGTTCACACATTGTTCATTAGGTTCACACACATGTTTCAATCTTATCTGGATGYCGTCGCCTGGTAATCCTTCCAAATCCTCCATTGTTTTGATGAAGATTATGAACCTTATTTTTAGCTACTGATTTAAGATATTGATCGATGAGATTGACGGTTTCTTTATTGATTGGAAGTTACAGAATAGGCTGACAAAATAGAATACGTTAAGATCATTCACTTTTTACAATTCTACCATTTGAACCATTGTGAACCTAATTTTTTATTAGTATGGTAATTAAATAATTAAATTTTTAGTCTTAATAAATGACAACCGTTGGATGTTCAAATGAACGACCAAGATCGGTTAACAAAGTTAACACGATAATCTTGGTTAGTATTTGAACCAACCCTATATATAGGGCCAAGATCAAATGCTAACCATCATTTTTGTGTTAACCTTATTAACTGATCTTGGTCATCCAAATCTATAATCAACGGTTAAGATTAATCAATAAAAAAAATTAAATTTTAAAGTTTGAATTTTAATGATACCTAGTGAACAATGATGAAAGGGGCATTTTGGAAAAAAAAATACACTTATCAAGGGTATTCTAGTAAATTGAATTCATTTGTAACCTCCAAACAATTAATGGGGAGTTACAAACAATCAAATCCCAAAAAATATGCATTCATATTATTATTATTTTTTTTACTACTGATCTTCCATGTTTATTCTTGTATGAATTCCTAAATCGCATAAGAAACACGGTAGTAACAATTTTCGGTATTGATCAATTTGAACACAAATGAATCGTGAACACAATTTGAACAA